GTCATCAAAACAAATGATGACATTGTTGTCACGCCCGTGCAATGAGCTTTGATGAAAGTGTCATCAATTTGTGGTAAAACTGTCATGATGAAAATATAGTGCACGATTTTGTCATCAAGTGATACTGAAATTTTACAGTGACAGTGTGTAAGGTTTTAAGAGTGTGGCACCAAGCCTCTCCACCGCTCGCGCTGCTGTGCGCCGCTTGCCGCTCCGAGTGTTGTGGGGGGTTCCCGGCGCGGTGGGTCGGCGTTCGAAACCTCTTGGCCGCGGAGACAGCCCGTCTGATGACGTCAGCTCGGCCGGCCCACGGCCTGCCCGCCGCCGGCCGTGCCGTCGGTCGCGGCCCTGACCTTGGCGCCGCGTGCGGAGAGGCACTCTCTCCTCGGACGCAGCCACCGCCTGTTTTCGCGGCGAAAGGACCTTGAAAGCAGCTGTGGGAGACGCAGGCCTCACTCTCAAAACCTTGCAAACGTTTTAAGTAAATTGCCATGGCAAAGAAATCTGAGCAGACATAAGCGGGCAAAGAAAATATTTAGAAGTTGGATCGAAATTTTATCGTAGGAGTTGATAGAAACTTTAGGCTCGTAAACGGTGAAACCTTTAACCGGAAGAATTATTCAATTGTCAAAACGATCATAGTTTGGAGGTTGATATGTTGTGAATAATTTTGATCATTAAACTGGACTGTTTTTGGCACTTTACCCGCCCTCTAAATCTCACAAACTATTCTAGGCCCAACAAAGAATAGTACAGTTTGTTGCAACCTCGTATTGTAGACATACACTACAAACCTAACTGTCTACTAAGTACACACTTACAAATGCATGCTTGCAAGTACACACTTACAAACGCATGCTTGGCCAAGTACACACGTACAAATGCATGCTTGCAAGTAAACACTTACAAACGCATGCTTGACGCATGCTGTTATACGGCGTCAAGCATGCGTTTGTAAGTGTGTACTTGCAAGCATGCATTTGTAAGTGTGTTCTTGGCCAAGCATGCGTTTGTAAGTGTGTACTTGCAAGCATGCATTTGTAAGTGTGTACTTGGCCAAGCATGCGTTTGTAAGTGTGTACTTGCAAGCATGCATTTATAAGTGTGTACTTGGCCAAGCATGCGTTTGTAAGTGTGTACTTGCAAGCATGCATTTGTAAGTGTGTACTTGGCCAAGCATGCGTTTGTAAGTGTGTACTTGCAAGCATGCATTTGTAAGTGTGTACTTAGTAGACAGTTAGGTTTGCAGTGTAAGCCTATCAAGAGAATACATACTTCGTAATTTACGAAACAATTCGTATGAAAAACAAAATAGTTTACATTATACATATGCTCTCCGTACTTGTGCTCAAAACTGTTAGTTATGTTTTAAGCGTTGGCCGCGTCCATTTTCGTCGTAGATCGTCAGATGCGAGTAAAGAAAAACAGGTACGTGTCGCAAAGTTGGACACTATGCCCTAGAATGGATGTTGTGTGGCGTTATTTGAACCATTATTGATTCAAAACCGAGGGGCAAACAACTTGAATTAAGGTGTACATTTTCCGTGAAATAACGTGAAATAACGGTGAAATAACGGTGAAATAACGTTGAAATAACGCCAAAATAAGCGTGAAATAGCGCGAAATAACGTGAAATAACACGAAATAACGCGAAATAACGTTGAAATACCCTTGAAATAACGTTGGAATAACAATGAAATAACGTGAATTTGAAATAACGGTGTACAAATTTTGACGAAGTTGTTTGCCCCTCGTTCGAAACAAGCAATTGACGGCAAAAGCAGTTTAATAGATGCAGCTCAAATGTATTGCGATATTTGCGGGACTTCTTTCCCTCAAAACCTAGGGGTTCATAACTTAACATCTGCGAGCCACCTTGACTATGAGGTCAAACTTTGTGCCTCAAAATCGCATTCCGTAAAAGGGGACCGAGCATTGTCTTTTTGTTTATCTTGAATCAGTTTCCCACGCGGGTTGTGCGGAAGCGTGGGGAAAGGCGATTGTTCGTTGACAAAACGTGTTCCTTCACATTCACTGGGTCGGGTTCAAGGTCTCGCCGCTTTCATCTCTCTCCCATCTCTGCCTCGAATTTCGATTTGCTCTCTGCCGGCCAGCGCCGTCCCGTTCTCTTTATCTGTGTAGTGTTCGCCCTCTGCTCGCCCTCCGTTCCCGATGAACTTGGGAAGCGAACCACTGATAGTGGTTTGCCGCTCTTATTCGCGGCTTGCCGCGGCCTTCTGCCGTCTGGGTTCCGAGGAAAGCAATCCCGGATCGGGATGGGGAATGCACTCCTGGCTCGAGTACTCAGTATGTGTTCCCTGTGCACGGGCCCACACTGCAAGCAAAAGTGTGAATTGTGCAACAAAAGTACCAAAAAACTGTTCAACAAAAGTACAATAGGGATTGTAGAAAGTACAACGAGAATTTTACAAACCACAACGAGGCCTGGACTGCAGAGGACTCATCATGCCGGTTCCATTGCACTTTAAAACAAAATAGTTGTACTTTCAAAGTACAATAAATTCCTAATAAAAATTTGGCAGAAATTTGTGTACTTTTGTTGTGGTTTTTTTTCTTGCAGTGCAGCAGTTGTTGAAAACTTCATTCGTGCAATAGACATTTTAAGACTGATTGCACACTAACAGATGAGATCAATTTTGTCCCATGATTTGATATCGTGCACAGCACAACCTGTATGGGATTAATATTTGCGTCACCAGAACGGGTTCCATCCTGGTTTGGATGGTGGTTACAGAACTGCATCGCAAATGAACTGTGCCCACCATCAAGGCGGACGTGCTTTTGAGTTGGTGTTGGGGATTTCGAATATACGAAAAGCCCCCTTTCTCTTTTCCTTTACTTTAGGCACAGTAATTATCGTTTATACCTATACTATAAATACCTAGACTAATATATGTGTACATAGGCTAAGCTATGCAGGGCAAGCTCTATATTAGTCAGCTGTTTGCGCCAAGCATTAGAGCTAATGAACCAAGGTAGAAGCAAACCCAGCTAACTCAGCATCGAGGCCGTAGGCTATCCTGCCGCTGCTAGCTATCCAAGAAAGCCAGAAAGCGGTAACCGCACTCCCTTGTAGATGATAAATGGCGCTACCTCCAGCGCTATAGGGGAAAATACGGCGGTGAGTCCAGTGCCGGCCCGAGGGAGGGCAAATTGGCACTTTTGGCAGCGCAACGTGTGGCTTTTTGCCTACCCAGGCGACTACCAAGTGTCCAAAGGGAGGATAGACACTTCTAGCAGGGCCAGGGCCGTACGTGAAGAACAAGAAGACCATAAACCGGAAACAGTACAAGAAATCGAGCCTTTCGGGTTGTTTTTGGCAGGTTTACATGAAATTCTATTACAAAATCAAGCTTTCTTGAAACTTTGGAATGACAATAAACACTCATCGTCAATGAATAACCGTTATTTGGCAGCTGTTTCCGGCTTATGTCCTTCTTCTTGTTCTTCACCTCAGGCCATGCTAGAAGTGTGAACTGTCCTTTCGCCCCCTCCCTCCCACGTCCTGGATCCGCGCTTGGACAAAGACACAAAGCCTTACGATGAAGCCCTCGGCCGCACTGGCGCACTGTGTGTGGCCCGGCGTATCGTCCGGGGAAGGGGAAGAGGGGAGCGCGGCACGGGGACACTCCCCCCCCCCCCTTCCCCGTTGTGGAGCCGGGCTGCCTCGCCACGAGTGGATACGCGCAGGAAGATGCCGCGGCACCGCCGATCGGAGCGCCCCCAGCGGCAGTGGTGGGGACTGGCGCGGGGCACCGTGAGACTGTAGCGCCCCTGGCGGACGAAGGACTAAGCGGGTGGGTCCGACCGGAAAAAGTGGAAAAAACATTTGTGCGGACATTAAGGGGGGGGGGGCTGGTGAAAAAATGGCCAAAACTGCCAAAAATAGTATTTTTAAAGTTCATGGATAAAAATGTGCATAGAAGGTTTCAGATTCAACAGGTTGAACACCTTTAAACTATGTGGGTAGTTCCTTCATCATTTGGAAAGAATTAACATTGAGATCAGTTGTCGTTGGCTTATACGCTCAATTTCACAGCTTTTGCTCAGTCAACAAAAAATTTTGTCGTAGAAAGATTTCCTGCGTTCCTGGTTGACACCTACATGAGTCGTCTTGCATGGACTCTATTCATTGATGACTTGTCGACAAATTTTAGTGACGGAATCTTGATATCAGCCCTCCTTTTTTTACAAACACCTAAAAGTTTGAAAAAAGGGCAAAAAATTCACTTTTTTTTAAATGTTAAAATTTGAAAATTCATATTTTAGGACAGAAGTTAAAATTGAAAATTCCGTCACTAAAATATCTCCTATACATCTTTAGGATAAGCCAAAAAATTTTCAAGACTTTCCGTTTTAATGAAAGACGCAGGAAGATTTTTCCCCAACGCTCTAAAAAACACTAAAAAGCTACTTTTCTCAGAGAACGTTCAACATTTTGGATTGAATTTTGTTTTGGGAACTCAATGAACCTAATAAGTAAGCAAAGTTTCAACTTTCTGGGATTATTTTAAAGCCTACTTGAAAGTTTCACCAGGGTTCCCCCTTAAAGTATTATAGAATTCTCTCTCTCTGCGCGTTGTTACCTGAGACCAGACAAGAAAAATTTTTATAGAGAAATGGTCAAAGTAGTCTAAGGCAGCCAGTGTTGTTACTCATAGTGAACATGCTTCCTTTGAGTACATCTTCACAGGTTGACAGACAAAACAGAAATGACCGATAATCGTGCGCTTTTCCCTAACATTTGTAACTTATGTACTTCCTTTGTTCTGCCAACTTAATTAGTTCCCTCCTTTTTCAAGCGGTTCCCTTCCCCGCGCCAGTTTGAAATTTCGCGTGAATCTGAAAGCACCATTCTTCCCGTCTCGTCCGCCAGGGGCGCCACAGTCTCACGGTGCCCCGCGCCAGTCCCCACCACTGCCGCTGGGGGCGCTCCGATCGGCGGTGCCGCGGCATCTTCCTGCGCGTATCCACTCGTGCCTCGCCGACCCCTTCCTCGTGGCTCCGCGCGGTCAATACAAATCCAAGCCGGCCGGCACTCGCGACACAGCACGAGGTGCGAAGAGGCGGCCTGACTCGCCGAGCCAAGCAACCGGCCGGCGTCCTTTGACACTCCGCGATCAGAAGGCAGTCCAGTGAGTACACCCGAAAGAAAGCCTGCGCGTCAACTGTAGAAATTTAGGAAGGCGCACGCTCGCAGACTCGTACTGTTTGTTTCTTCAGTCACGTATTGACGGTGAAGTGCAATAAGTTATCAACGAATTTATTGATATAAATAAAGCTTTTATCAAGAACTTACTGATATTTTTATGTAACTGGAAGAAGAAATCGTATTAATCAATATCTGTACCGAATTATTGTGCAGGCCAGGGTATGCTTTCTCATAGTTCTCCTTTCTCAAAGTCTATAATGGAAAACCGTTTGTTTGTGACACGCAGATAATGTTGCTTCTGGATTGTGTAAAGCAACACTCAAGCAAAGAACGAAGTTCTGTTAATAGGTGATATCCACTGTCTATTTGTTGCTCACAAATTTCGAACCTTACTGTAGAATGTAACATATTGGATTGCGGTAAATCGCGGTAATAAAACACTGGAAATCGTCGCGAATTTGCAACATTCCGAAATGAATGCATGCGTCAAGAAGATCCTTATTGTAAACGCAATGACACAAAGATGATCATGACAATGCCTTGCGGGCGGCATGAAAGGTGTTTGATTGAAGGTGCAGATCGAAGTTCCAAAATTTTGTAGACTTAAAAAACGATTTTGACATTTTTTTACCAAACCAAGTTAAGACGTCCAAACTCAATTTTTTTCAGCACAAGACAAGTTTCTGTTTTAAAAAAAGTTGATATTTGTTTTTGTTTTTTTATTTTTCTTGAAAACTATTGAAGATTTATGGCCCATTGTCAAATCTATGACAGTTCTAGGGAACGTCCCTGACGGTCTGGGCCATATCACAGTTTTGGTGTGATAAAAACTACGCTAAAAAAGTGATAAATACATGATTTATTGCACTCAAAATGCAATAACTTTTTCATGGGGCTTATAATGCAATCATAATGTTATTGCTATTGAAATGACTATTATCACATTCAGAAGACCAGTGAAGGTCCTAAAAATGTCAATTTGGACCATATTACAAACGTAACTGTCTACTCCGTATACATACTAATGCATACTGGCAAGTACACATTTACAAATGCATGCTTGACCAAGTGCACAAAAGGCATACTTGGCAAGCACTCACAACTGCACACTATGCATATATGTGTGTTTGTAAGTGTGTATTTGGCCAAGTATGCATTGGTGTGTACTTGCAGTTATGCATTTGTTTCTTGGTATAGACAATCAGCTTCGTAGTGCAATCTATTTGCAGCTCGGGACGATTCCCCCTCTCCGTCCCTTTTATGTTGTCTTCCTTGAATTAAGTCCTAAACCGTACTTGTTCGGTCCAGCCTCCGAACCCATTCTTTGAAGTGTGCACGTATTGTCTCGTGTGCTCGTCACTCTTAACGACTCCTCACGTTGCAGGTATGCTGCTGAGAAACCTGTCCGTCGCCGCGTTGGTGCTGGCGGTGGGCGTTGCCATGGCAGCCGCCGCTGAACTTGGCCAAGGGTAAGTAGGCAACAACTTGTCGGGGAAATCGACGGCGCGGGGCTGATTGGAAACAACGCAGACGCCATATCGAGTGGTCCTCTTCAAATCTTACCGTGCGGATGAAAGATCTTATCTGGTCGTTTCCGTATGAATATCTTTAGGGGGCAGTATAGCGCCTTCACCTTTTGGACAAATTCGGCGTAAGTTCCCCTTACCTGTCAATTTACAAGAAAAATTATTCTTACCGTTGAAATGAGGGTTCTTCAAGAGTGAGTTTGGTGGAAAACATGTTCAGTTAGTTTGTTTTTGTAAGATCTGTGAAAAGCACAAGAAAACACTGCAGATTTGCTCGTAAAATTACGGGCAGAGCTTATATATCCGTGCAGGGAACTTTCCAACCAAATTTAAACTAGTTGTGTAACATTTTTGGACAAGTAAAAATAACTCTAGCCTTCAAGTGTATGAGTGGAAAGTGACTAAATATTCGGGTCAACGACTTTTGGGCGACAGTGTGCACGACAGGCACACAGACCGGCGGAAACAGGAAATTAATTCGAGCGTTCGGATCGTCCGCGTGACGTTGAAGGATAGGCATAACCGCGTGGGATTTCCCCTGCCGCTCGCAACCCAATTTGGTAGTGTAGCTTGGGCTGCTTTTAAGTGCCACCCGGTGATAAAAGTAGAAATAACATTTCCCGTTTATTTCGAGACGTCAGCAAGTATTATTTTTGTCGATGTGTTTGTCTCGTAACCGTAACTCATAGTGTGTGGTTTATTTTATGTTCGCGAAGCAGAGCCGTGCCTTTTCCTTTTCCTCTGTGAACGATTTGCCTCAGTATCACGGTCACGGACAAGCCTGCAGTGGTGTGCCATTGCTTGTAAGCGTAAGAGGGTAGGGTCGCCGGTAACAAAGGGCAGTGCGTAACAAACGCTTATATCTACGCAATTGGGGTCTACTGAAGACAATGTGAGTGTGAACTGTCTTCTAGCTTCAGGAACTTAATGATTTACGATCGACACGGCCGTGCTCAGTAAAAACTCTACGAAGAATCGCTTTGTAGTAGGAAGAAAATGAAGCAAACTCCTTCGTTATGCGAAGCATTTCTTCATAATACGAAGCAATTCTACAATGCCTTCATTTTCATTGGAGTTATGAAGCAAATGCTTCGTAGGCTTTTGAGTGTGACCGGTGCAGTGCAATTAAACTTGGCCTTAAGGTGGAAATTCAAAATTCTGTTGTAAACTACCCCACCCTCTGTCAACCCCACCCCACTGTCAACCGAAGTATGGCGAAGTCCATACTTCCTGGTGCGGGTTAATTCCTCGTCCTTAAATCGTTCATCAGCTCGCGGAGCTTTCATCTCTTGGCATGGTGCAAACGTGGAGCTCCTCTTCACTATAACTCTGCCCTGTCGAATTTGGAAACTGCCATTCCACACCTTCGCATTTTAAGTGTGGACTTCTCCACTCTTAAATTCACAGAGTAGGGCTCTAGACTGCGCACACTGTAGCTAACTTGAAGATACCCTGGTCCCCGGTCAGTAGGGGTAATTTCGGGACTCGGGACAGCTGTTTCCTCCACAAGATTTGACATTTCAGACATCGTGCCAAACCAAACGTGATGTTTTTATTTTGAAAATAACATTTGGTTTGGTTCTTAAATGTCAAATTTTGTCCAGGAAACGGTTGTGCCATTTTCACCCCATGTCGACCAAAATTCTGACCCTAGTTCCAGCAGTGTTAATGACGGTCGTGTTTCTATGGTGCAGGACCTACACCGTGGTCTCACCCTCCTCCGTCCGCCCGCACTCCGAGTACCACGTGGCCGTGGGCGTGCACGGCGCCGACAAGGACACGTCCGTGGAGCTGGAGCTGGTCAACAGCGGCGACAATGGCCACAACGTCACCTACACCGAGAAGGTGGTGGTGCCGTCCGGCAGCACCAAGACCGCCCGCATCAAGGTCAGTGCCCGCCTGCCGTCAGGGATGAGTAACACTGCAAAAAAATCAACTGAGAGTTAGTAAAGGTATACCTTTCAGGTACTGGGTCAGTGGGGGTAGTTTTGGGCTTGGGGTGAAAATAGGAATGGTGTTGTTTCTTAATCAAGATTCGACATTTTACAAGTCATGACATACCAAGAGTGATGTATTTATTGAGAAAGTAACATTTGGTACGGCTTGGTGTTCTAGAATGTCAAATCTTGCCCAGGAAAGAGGTGTCCCAATTTTAGCCCGTGTCTCGAAATCCCAATTGACACACACAGATGTTAAGCTTGTGGAAAAGTTAACAAAGTTTGCTTCGTAATTCCACCAATATTCTTCGTAAATTAACGAACAATCTTCGTGCATTCACGATGGACTGACGAGAGTCGTGGCAAGAATCAGAATTGAAGCCAAATGTATGGCAAAAATTTTCATTCCACTTATTGGTTCGGTAAACATTTGGGAGCAACGAAAATTCACACGTGGCATGGTTTGTGTTTTTTACTTCTTCTCCTATTAGAACATGAAAACGTCGTTGTAAGATAAAGTGGGCGAGCTCAGGGCGCGGATGGAGGTGTTTGCAGCACCATTATTCTGACTGATGGTGCACCGCTCCTCCGGGTCGGGCGTGCGAGTCGCGTGGCCTGGCGTCTATTTTTGCAATACCGCGTTTGCAGTCCCAGCACCGCACAGCTTCCTAGCGCGATGAATCTGACCCTGAACAGTGCACTTCCACTCCTAATGGCATACGAAGAAATTTCCTATCGTCCGAACAAGATGGCGCAAGCATAATACGAACGAAGCTTTTCTTTTCGAAGGTGTTTGCTTGTGTCTTACAATGGAGATGGAAGCGGAAACGACTCCAGAAAGTTTGTAAACCGAAATTCGTAGATAATCTTGAATTTTAGACAAAGTTCTTCAAAATTCATGAAATTGTGTTTAAGTTTGTAGAAATTCTTCGAAAATCTCTTAAGTTTAAAGAAGTGAACTTCGAGGAAATTTGGCTGCAATGGGCTGCAACTTCATCCAAAACTCTAGTGGTACACAAAATTTCGAATTCAAACTTATGCCCCCTTGGATGAAAATGCGAAGGAGAAGACGCTTTATAGGGAGATTTTGCATCGTGTGATTTGGCCGAATGCACGGTACAGCGTGAATCTCACTGTAGGACATTTGGACTGTACTGACCTGGAGTGTGTTGACTGGCCGTGCAGGTGGGCGAGCTGCACGCCGGCAAGGTGCGCCTGTCCGCCAAGGGCGAGGGCGGCGTGTCGTTCAGCAACGCCACGGACGTGGACTTCGACGGCAAGACGGCCTCGCTGTTCGTGCAGACCGACAAGGCCCAGTACAAGCCGGGGCAGGACGTGCGCATCAGGGTGCTGGTCCTGGACCCGCACCTCAAGCCCACCGTCAGGGAGCCCATCAACGTGTTCGTCTTGGTGAGTATGAGCAAGTGAGCATCAGTCGCCCATGCACCGAGGGGGTGAATCAGGGGTCCTAGGCCTATTCAAAAGATCTTATCTGGGCGTTCCCCGTAAGACAATCTTATCTTAAACGCCTGCAAATTTCACTCATTTTGATCAGTCAGAATAAGTACGACGGTAAGCGAAACATATTTCTACACGCACTTTTGGTTTCTTTGATCTTCCATCTTTAGATTTACTTGAACATACCGACGGCTCCGAAAATAATACGCGCAACTCAGGCCGCCGCGTACAACAAGCGCAACACCGGCCGCCGGTTACAACTAGAGTAACTGGCGGCCGCGCTGAGAACCCGCGCGCTTCCCGGCGGCGTCCGCGCTAGGTTATGTTTGACACGTTATATCTCCTAAACCATTAGAGTTAGATGGTTTGTGTAAGCGAGCCGATTGTAGATCTAAGTTAGAACTAAAATCGGCTCGCTTACACTACCCATCTAACTCTAACGGTTTAGGAGATATAACGTGTCAAACATAACCTAGCGCGGACGCCGCCGGGAAGCGATGCGCGGGTTCTCAGCGCGGCCGCCAGTTACTCTAGTTGTAACCGGCGGCCGGTGTTGCGCTTGTTGTACGCGGCGGCCTGAGTTGCGCGTATTATTTTCGGAGCCGTCGATACTCACAAATTATATTGATATGTAGCTGTATCAAATGATCAAACTATGTGAAATTCACCTGCGTTTAAGATGAGATTGTCTTGGAGGGAACGCCCAGATAAGATCTTTTGAATAGGACCCCGCGAAAGTGTACTCGTGTGTACAAATTTGCCCGTACTCAGTGTACCCACAAGTTTTAAAGGGCGGAATTCATTAGTTTTTCGACCGATTTGGCGTTGTGTGTCATTTAAAACGTTAAATAAAGCACATGTTTACAAATGTGAAATTCATGAGTAGAGCAAGGTGTACTCACCCGTACTCGTACTCATGTGTACAATAGAAGTAATTAACCCCTCGCCATGCACTGTTATTCGACGGAGGTTACGTCGCATTCACTCACTGGAATGTGAATTTTGTCACGTCTGTTTGAATACGATTATCACATTTCGACCCCTCCCAAGAGAACCACTCGGACTTTTGAGGCATCTTGGCTGGCTGGCCCGGCTGATTGATGACCAGCCAGCCGCTCTCTGACTGGCTCGTGCCGGTGCGGGCGAGACAGCGCCAGGTTCAGTCAGCGGCTGGCTCGTCACCAGCCGGGCCAGCCAGCCAAGATGCTTCAAAAGTCCGAGTCCGAAGCTCTGCCATCCAGCTCGAAAATAGGCAGAAAACGCTCCTATCTGGCCAAAATTTTAGATAGATGTTTTGAGATCTTTTCAAGGTAATCACTGGTAATCAGTATTCGCGTATTGTGTACACTCCTGAACTGAGTGGTGGACCCCCCGCCACCAAGTTGATATAGTTCCCCAGCACCCCGGCGGCTTAGGACGATGCACCGAAATTCCAAACGCTATGAGTATTGCACGTATGGTGCAATGCGTCGAGATATCGCACCATACGTGCAATTCCTCAGCCATATTGCACCTTACGTGCAATGCATCCCGAAAATGCCCTATGCTAATGCATGGGAATAGGGAGGCATTGCACTTCATGTGCAATGCTTTTGCATTGCACCAATTGACGCTATACTCATAGCGTTTGGATTCTCAGTGTGGTATTCTTCTGAGGGGTTGGATTTGTTGCAACGTGTGATTTTCCAGCTGAGCGACGGACGAGCTTTCACTCGAAAAGCCACACTTCACACTACAAAGCTTTTGTAGCTTAAAAAGAATTTAAGCTAACCTAACAACTGTCCGTATTATGTGCACAAATGTCTTCACACACTACAGCCAAATTCACAGTTAGAAAGTTTGATTGCACACTAAGTTTTGTATGAAAAACTGCACAAATTTGCCCATTGTGCAACGAAAAGTTCGTGATGTCTCGTACAAAATTTGTACAAAATCATTTAGTGTGTGTTCTTGTGCGCTTCCAGGACGGCAAGAACAACCGCATCAAGCAGTGGCTGAGCGAGCAGCCCGAGGGCGGGCTGTGGTCGGGCACCTTCTCGCTGTCCGAGCAGCCCGTGCTGGGCGACTGGACCGTGGCCACCGCCCTCGCCACCTCCCCGGCCGGCGAGGTCAAGAAGACCTTCAGCGTGGCCGAGTACGTGCTGCCCACCTTCGAGGTGACGGCCAAGGCGCCGCAGACGGTCGCCTTCAAGCAGGGCAAGATCCCCGTCACCGTCAAGGCCAAGTAAGTGGCACGCCGTCGGCGTTTGACTGCGGCAAGATGTCGAGGAGGGGGGATAACTACCCTCACTCTCGAAACCTTTGAAAGTACTTGGGGCAGTTTCTTACAACCAAGTATTTTGAGCATACACGAAGCTTGTAAAGCAAATACTTCGTTATTTTCGAACTAAATAGTACTTTATCCTCAAAATACTATGTGCACTGGTAAAACTAAAGCGTAGTTTAACCCACTGTTTTTAAGCGTAATCAGTTTACGCTTGAACTCAAGCGTAACAGGCTCATCTGCCAAGATTCCCCCTATCTAAATGCATGGGGGAATTTCTAGCCTATGCTTGATTTCAAACGTAATGTCTTCAAGCGTAACTTTATGCTTGACTCAAGCATAGAGTTACGCTTTAGTTTTACCAGTGTGAGCTTGCAAACGTACAGCCCCCTCCGTGGGTACCGGATAGGCCGCCTGGAAGCTAGGCCACTAGCACTGCTTTGCCAATGTTCACTGTGAATTCACTGGCAAGTTTGCTTGCCAACATTTGGCGCTTATCTGCAATGCTTCTCATGAAAATCCTGGATCCGCCGCTGGACTGCGGTCGCGGCGCCGACGCCAAACACGAAAATGATAATGTCAAATACCACTAATACAAATACTAACCAGTGGAAGGCCCGTGGCCTTGATGCTGAGCTAGTGAATTTGTATGAGTTTTGGGTTTTCTTCTGTAGTCCTACCCACTTAGCTTTTGTGTGTGTCAACACCGAAATTCCAAACGCTATGAGTATTGCACGTATGGTGCAATGCGTCGAGATATCGCACCATACGTGCAATTCCTCAGCCATATTGCACCTTACGTGCAATGCATCCCGAAAATGCCCTATGCTAATGCATGGGAATAGGGAGGCATTGCACTTCGTGTGCAATGCTTTTGCATTGCACCAATTGACGCTATACTCATAGCGTTTGGATTCTCAGTGAAACGGTGAATTCTGCACGCTTAGCCTCTTGACTTCTTCTCATAAGCAGATTTATTTTTGGAAGCAACCATATTTACTTCTTCTAAAAAAATTCTTTGTAATTTATTTAAAAACGAAAATATCATTGCATCAATCAGCAATTGCTAAGTATTACTTTTAAAAAGGCCAAGCATTATGATTGCTTACAAAAATGCGTCTGCTCATGAGAAATACATACTACTCGAGGAACACTCAAAAAAATTTCAATACAAAATTCTGTAACATGGTTACGCAGTAATTTCCACTAAAATTAAAGGCGCAGAGTGTTGACTTGAACACCGTCATAAATTTCGTCTGTTTGAACCGAATCGCAAACGAGTGAGGGATACATCATGTTCTTCTTTCCAGGTACACGTACGGAAAGCCCGTGGTCGGCAAGGCCACGGTGCGCGCCCCGCTGCCCTACTACTGGGTCAACCCCTTCCCGCCGCACCCGATCCCTATCTTTGGCTTGGCCTCAGAGAACGCCTCCACCACCACGACCACCACCACCTCCACCACCCCCATGCCGCCCAGGCCGACGCACGTGGAGAAGGTGGTCCCCATCGACGGCTCCGCCACGGTCGAGTTCGACATCAAGGATGACCTCAAGTAAGACGACAACCTCACTGGTAGAACTGAAGCTTACTTTTATGCCTTTCTTTGAGCGTTGTGGAAACTCTGGAAACCTTACAAACTATTTCAGGACTCAAAAAGAAAAGTAGCTTCACTGCAAAATCATATGTGTGCATGGTACACAGCTGTGGGGGTGTACTTGTTAGCACACAGCTTGGAGTACGCTTGGGTTAAGCTTAAGCATTCATCTATAGGAATGTGCTTGAAAAGAGTGCATCTATAGTTGTGTATTGGGCAAGCATGCATCTATTGCTGTGTTCTTGGAAAAGCATCCATGCATCTCACCCATTTGAAATCACACTCCAATAGATGCATGCTTGTCCAAGTACAGATGCATGCTTGCCAAAGTGCACTCCTTTAGATGTATGCTTGACAAGCACAATCCTAGAGATGTGTGCTTCTAAGTATACTCCCACAGCGGTGAAATATGTGTACTGTGTACTAAGCATACATTTGATTTTAGACCGGCATGTGCCGGCATGTGCGCACCGTTGTATGGCCGCTTTGCTTTCACAGACTGGACGACAACAACTACTGGAACCACGTGACGTACGAGGTGTCCGTGGTGGAGGACCTGACGGGCCGCGTGCTCAACGCCTCCGACGTGGAGGGCACTCAGGTCCGGCAGCACGACTTCGACTTGCAGTTCGTGGACACCCCGTACAACTTCGAGCACGGGAAGCTTGTCGTCGTCAAGGTAACTAGGCACAACGGGCCACCAGACCGGTGGAGGCTGCCCAAATTCTCGACGCGTTTTGAGCTCCAGAGTCACTGAACAGTACTGGAAACGAAGTTTGTGAACCCTACCATTGGATTCCTCGTATTTGAAGAGTTTCGTTCGGTTCGAGCCTGATTAAGCGACTCCAGAGCTCATAACGCGTCTCGAATTTGGTGCGCGAATACCTGTATTTGAGACCCCCCTCCAATAGCCCCCAGATAGCCGCCTGCAAGGTAGGCAAAAAGTGATTACCTCCCCTCAGGCTGCCTCTGGACCTGCCACTGTATATGCACCAAAGACACTACATGGTAATTTTGTGTGCACCCTAAATGTCTGTCAAAAATATTTTTTACCAACTGGAAACAATTCTGTGCATTATCAAAATTGATGGTACGAAATTTGTCGCTTTTGTCACTAATGGGCAACAACGTTGTACTGCGGTAATCCACAGAATTGTGTCGAGTTGGTAACGCGGTCCGTGGACATTCAGTGTTTGTTATGTTTCTTTCTGTTTGACCGTTTTTGTGGCGAAATCTCAATATTGTTCGTCTCCCTCATCAACGTGCTCTCGCGCATGATCTCACACATGTTTCCGCTGCAGGTGAAAGTGACGGACCTCGACGGCGCCCCCGTCCAGGACGACAAGAACCCCGTGGAGATGACGTACAACTACGGCTGGGAAGACAAAGAGAGGAAGTCGCTGCCAGAGAAGAAGGTCCCGGCCACGGGCATCGTCACGTTCGAACTGGAGCCCGAGAAGAACAAGTCGCAGATCACTTTCACCGTGAGTACAGTCGCTCCTATCCTGCTGAAATCACTCTGTAAACTGCAGTGTGCTTTCACTGAGTACACACTGAAAGCACGAAAGTGTAAACCTGGTTCACACCTAGTTCACACTTCCAACACAGAAGTGGCCCTCAACCAAATGCACAATCCGGTCCTGTTCGTGTTTCGGGCAGTTATCATTCTCTAGACGAACCAATGAACCGCGTTGGAGCCAGACCTAAGGGGACCCCGGCCAGGTGTTTTTTTTTTTTTTTTTATCTGGAGCTTCTCTTATGTTTTAGTGCAGTTAAGTAATAAGGTCTTACCCTCTCAAAACCATCAGTTACGGTCCTGTTGGAGCGTGTACTACTTAAGCCACAAACAAATGAATGTAAAGGGATTTTAGTTATAGTTCTGAGAGCAAGAATTCTGTTCACATATTAAGCTGACCTGTATTTGCAACGTCCAACAGCCTTTTCGTAATTTTCTCCTTTACTTAAAACAATCTTTCGACTCTTATTTGTTGTTTTCAGGCTACTTACCGCAACAACTCTGCCATCCAGTATCTGAGCGCGTTCCAGGAGAGAGAGAGTGAGAACCTGAACGTGGAGGTGGAGCAAGACAGCGTCAATGTGAGTGATAAGTAGTTGGGCGTTAGAATTTTGCTGTGACAGTTGCTACATCACTTAAAATCAAATAGTGATACATCTCACTCTCTGAGGGATGAGATATGACTCTCTCACCGAAAAAAGGGTGATACTAAAATGTATCACCGAAAAAATGGTCGTACACGCATGTATCACCGTAAAAATGGTCATACACAAATGTATCACCGGAAAAAAGGTCGTACACAAACGTATCACCGAAAAAAGGTCGATACTTCCCCAGGAAAACAAGGGCCAATCCTGCTGATGTCTCACCTTTCTTCCGGTGATACATTTGTGTACGACCTTTTTTCGGTGGTACATTTTGTATCGCCGAAAATTGGTGAGATGTCTCACCCTTTGACTTAAAGTGATTAAGTTCAATAGTAAGCGTGTGAGGTTTTACGACTCAAAGTGCCACCGCCACCAGAGAAGGCAGTCCGTTAATCTGTCCGTTCTCCCCGTCGCTGCAGGTCGGCGACGAGATCCTGCTGCGCGTGTCCTCCAAGGTGCCGCTGCGCCAGGCCACGCTGGTGGTGCAGGGCCCTCTGGGGCTGCGGACGGTGCGGGACCTGCCGGCCGGCCTGGACGCCAGCAAGGACGACGCCCAGCCCGGCGCGGCCGGCACCACGGTCCGCGTGCGCGCCACCGCCGACATGGCCCCCGCCTCGCGCGTCGCCGTGTACGGAGTCACGGCCGACGGCAACCTGGTGGCCGACGTTTCCGCCGTCAAGGTCAACGCGAGCCTCGCGCCGGTAAGTGCCGCCACGGTGACAACGGCTTCCATGTCCTTCGGCGACCGTGTGACTGCACTGAGATTTAAAGTGTCATAACTGAGGGGGCATAAACCACACGTGAAATCCTGTGTACACTCAATAGGCCGAAATCTTGTGCGAAATACCTTGGAAATCTGGTGAGATCTAGCAAAATCCCATAATCTGTTGAAATCTCGCAAAGTCCCTCCAAAATCTCGCGAAATCTGGCATAAATTTGACGCGAAATCCTGTGAATTCTCGCAAAATCTCGACGAAACCCGTACCTTTGAAGAATTCTGTGTACCAAAAAATATCAAGTGATTGACCCCCTCGGCCATAACCGGAACTTAGGTGAGATATTTCCAAGGAAAAATAACGTTGAATTTCAGTGTACACATTTCTGAATTCCGCATAAATTTTGATTCGAACTTCACTGGTGTTTTGAAGAATTTCCTTTAAACTTAATCTAAATTTCATGAATTTTGTCACAAGTTGGCTAAAATTGGAGCTTGTTTTAGACTTTTGGTGTACAAATCTTAAGATTTGTTTCCCCTTGAGTATTTTCATCTCCCCAGTTTTGGTGGGACTCACTTCACCTTTCCAATTTGATTGATGATACTGCCTAGCTTATGGGCAGCAGACACCTCTATCGCCCAAACTTGGGTGATCAAAGAATCCTCACCTAAGTTTCGGTGAAAACTAAATGTAACTTAAAATATAACTTCAAATGAATAAAACTTAGGCCCCTTCACTCTAACTGTTACATTTCAAAACGCAAGCGAGCCGCAGCCGCAGCGGACGCGTTGCGCTGTCTCCCCGGGTGGGCAGGCCACCCAACGGGCACGCGACCGCGCTGCAGCGCGTTTGGTTGCCTGCCCACCGGGCGTTCCTCGCCTCTGCTATGACAATGACAGTGTACACAGTGTACCACGAGTACGAAGCGTGTAGTCATGATACCAAGCAGTTCTTCAATGCATTTGGCTTCATTTCCTTCATTGTTACGAAGCAGTGCTTCGTAGACTGTTTAGAGTGTATCCACACCCAATTATGACCAAGGGAAAATAACTTTCAATTTCAGTGTTGAAAGTTTTGCATTCATATGGATTCTTGGAAAAAAATTCGGTGATTCACAGCCAAATCTCTGTTTATTTAGGTTCAAAATTTTACCGAGTTGTGAAGAATTTCTTTAATTTTGACTAAACTTCTTGAGTTTGTTCAAGAAAATTGACTGCAAAATTTATGATTGCCCATGAATTTTTTTGTGTACAAACTTTTTGGACTTGTTTCCTCTTGGTCTCGACAAACGTGATGAATCCGAATGTGAATGGCGTTGCAGGTGGCGGTGCGCATCCAGCCGGGCCGCAGCGAGCCGGGCCGCGAGGTGGAGGTGTCGCTGTCCGCGCGGCCCAACGCCACGGTGGCGCTGCTGGCCGTGGACCAGAGCGTGCTGCTGCTCAAGCAGTCCAACAACGGGGTGACGGCCGCCGACGCCTACAACGAGCGCATCAGCTACGAGTCCAAGGCCAAGAAGCCCTGGGGCCCCGGGTCCGGCGCCGAGAGCCTGCTGGGCAAGTGGAAGCGCTGGTGGTACTCCGTGGAGGAGGTGCTGGAGGTGAGTCGCCTGTCTCTTCACACTAAATTCTTATGGACTTTTTTATGCATAGTTATACATGCACATGGACATACGTCCATATGTTATGTATAATATTATGCATCACTGTGTACATTTTATGCAGGAAGATGCATAAAATGTACACTGTGATGCATAATTTTATACATACCTTATGGACGTTTCTGCGCATGCATAACTATGCATAAAAAGTGCGTTCTTATGCATTTAAAAAGTCCATAAGAATTTAGTGTGTTCAGCAAAGAATCGAGCGCCACCATAAGCTGGGATAATATGAGGCAAAAGGGTACTTCGGAGAAGAGCTGGAGCGGAAGTTGAGAAGAAATCAAGAAGAACAAAGTATGCGAAATGTGTATGAATGAGCGTCTGCGTCGCCGTTCTGCCGCTTCCGCAGAGTTACATTCTCATACAAATCCGGCGTTTCTTCTTCTTGATTTCTTCCGGATCAGCTCTTCTCCGAAGAACCCAATTTTGGGGTTGCATGAGACCCTTTTGGGGCAGTTTGAGACACAGTTTAAACACTGGCATAACTAAAGCGTAATATTGCCCTCGGTTTTCAAGCGCAATCAGTTGACGCTTGAAATCGAGCTTGCAGGCTCATCCGCCAAGATTCCCTCTATCTAAATGCATGGGGGAATTTCCGGAGTATGCTTTATTTCGAGTGTAAGATCTTCAACCGTAACTTTATGCTCAAGCGTAGTGTTACGCTTTAGAATTACCAGTGAACTAACTTATTTAAGCTATCGTTGAGGCCCCTTATGCGGCAAGTTCAAGATCCCTGCCAGTTTGGTCACTTACAGCACTAAAACACATGATTTTTTTCTTGACGATACAATTTTTCGACATAAAGTTTTACAGGAAAGATTCGTTATTGTGTCCCAAACTACCCCCAAAATTGTCTCTCTTTGCCTCAGTTTACGGAATCACTATCATATCGTTTGTTTTACCATGTTAGTACTGCTTTTTTAAAAACGTGCTGGTTTGTTTCCATAGGACGCTGGTGTCGTCTACATGACGAACGCTAAAATTGTGCGGAGGCTACCAGAGCGTAAGTTTAAGCGTGAGTTTTTTCGGAAGCCAAGGGACTAGTTTGGCACACTGTTAAAAATAAATGGGAAAATCCCAAAGAAGCGTTTCGAAGCTTATTCTTCGGGCATTTACGGGAGCTTCGGGTTTCGATAATATTTTTGTACTGTAATTGCACTTTTAAAAGTCGGCGCAACTGCGAAGGAAATGAAGGAATTGCAGAATTTCTTTACATTAGAAAGAAGTGATTTCGCATTCTAACGTAGACTTAATGCCTTTGTTTTCTTCGGATTACGAAACGATGCTTCGTAAACCATTTTCTATGTGCCGGAAACTCATTTCATTAGGAAAACAGAATGTTTTGGAATTTCCTGATGAGAGGCAATTTTTTTCCCACATGTTCTTTGGGAATTTCCAAGGGTTTCATTTTTTTAACCAGTGCACCACGTTATGTACTTCACGTAGGATGTCCAGTGCGTGTTGTGTGATGCTGTCCCTCTTTGCAGCGGTGCTCTTCGCGCTGGGCGCCCCTGGGGCAGCAGGCATTGCCGTGCCCGAGGCTGCGCGCCCCATGGCGGCGGCCGTCCCAAGCTCGGCGGCCTCGTTCGCAGGCGCGGGTGGCGCGGCGCCTCCGCCACCCAGGCTGCGCACGCTCTTCCCCGAGACCTGGCTCTGGGAGAACTTCAACTCGGGGTGAGTCAGGGTGCCCGTAAACTCACGGAATCCAAAAGCCACGAGCGCATAGCGGCACCCAAAACCCAAGGGTGGTAAAATTTCAACTTTTGAAGGCGTTCCAAGTGTGGTACAAAAATTACCACCGATTGAAAGCAGTGAAGTTATCACCTTCCACAGTTGTATCGCCTTGAATGTTCCGTTTGGAGGGAAATTTAAGGCGGTACAGCGGTAAAAGATGGCAAATTTACCGCCGTCAATGGGCAACAATTTTAAGCAATTTACGCTGAAGCGGGAAAAAGGCGGAAAAACAATTACCGCCTCCGTAACACCATGTTTACCGAGGGGTGAATCACTAGTGTACTCATGTGTACAAATTTGCCCGTACTCATTGTACTCACAAGTTTTAAAAAGGTGAAATTCTCTAGTTTTTTGACCGATTAAACGTCGAACGCCGTTAAAAACGCCAAATAAAGCCTAAAAACGTTTTAAATTGTGAAATTTATGAGTAAAGCAAGGTGTACTCACCCGTATTCATGTACTCATGTGTACACCAGAACCCTGAGTGAGTCACCCCTCGATGTTTACCGCGTTTCGATTTCGGGTGGGGGATGCATCGCAGGACACGTGATGCGGTGTTCGCGTTTCCGACGGTGCAGAGTAACGCCCTATAAAACGCCAACATAAGTTGAATCTTTTGGATTGTAAGCTTCAGACTGTTTGCTCTTGTCAAAACGAATCGTTCGGCAAGCGTCCAAACTGGGCCTCGCTGGCAGGTCTCAGAGCGCCTGCCCGCTAGGCCACCAAACGGGCGCCAGCGGGTGTTGTGTTGCTTAGCTCAGTCATCCATTACCATTAAGGGCTAGACCACACAGGCAAAGCGGGTCCGTTGTCGCATTCTCAATCACTGGTGTATTCGGTAAAAACATAAAAAACAGGTTTAATTTTTTTTCTTCTTTAAATTCAACGATCAGAGGCACGGTTATGGTTTTACAACTTCATACGTGCGAGAAAGAGAAAATTGGCACGTAACAGATCATTATTTCCTCCAGTGCTGACGGCAACGTGACCCTCAAGAGGGTCGTCCCGGACACCATCACGTCGTGGGTCGTTTCCGCCCTGGCCGTGGACCCGGAGCAGGGGCTGGGACTCAGCGACACCACCAAGGTACGAGCAAAGGTTCATCAAGAACTTAGGTGGCTGATTTAAACTCTATTCGAGTGTAACAAATGTAACGTGTGCACGAAGCTGTAGTGTGGGCATAGTACATGTTCGAAACAAGATTTCTTGGGAGATCTCAATCAATTTCGTGCCCTTTTTTTCTATTTGTGGGCACTAAAGTTGTCTCAAAATTTCTCGAGTGATTGCCCCCTCCAAGTTATTTAGGCCTGACAAGTACACATCCATCCATCTACTGGATCGCTTGTCGTATTACACTCCCATAGGTGAATACTTCCCCAAGTACACTCCCTAGCACACATGGCTTTTGTATGTGGTAACACGGACGGTGTGACTGACGCATGAAATCTAAACCCTCTGGCGTTGCAGCTGACGGTGTTCAGGCCGTTCTTCGCCACCCTGAACCTCCCCTACTCCGTGATCCGCGGCGAGACGGTCCAGGTGCCCGTCATCGTCTTCAACTACATGGACGAGGACACCACGGCCACCGTGACCCTGGACAACGAGCACGGAGAGTTCGAATTCGCCGGCAACGCCGCTGGTAAGTTTTGGGACCAAGGGGCTATCCACTTGTTATTTTGGTACTACACTTCCTGGATTCTTACGATTTCTGAACCAATCCACCGAAAAAGAGAGTATTTTCGAAGAATATTCTTTGCATCAAGAACCTATATAGCCCCAATCCGACTGACTGACTCACTCACTCACTCACTCACTCACTCACTCATAGAAATGTTTGGGGTCAAGGAGTGGTCGTAGAGACATGCGGTTTTTTCCATTCGATTCCAAATTTTATGGGAAAATTGGGAAAAATCCCAAAAGTTGAAAATTCCTAACCGTTTCCGAGCAAACCTACTTAATCTTCAAAAAAGCGGACTAAATTCCTCACAGTTTCCGAGCAAACCCACTCAATCATCGAAAAAGGGGACCGACCGACTAAAAATTTTTATTCGCCCCATCGGTAGGTCTGGTCGAGACATTTCCGAAACTGTGCCGCAATCGGGTCCCCGTCACCGGCAACATCCCAAAAAACGATATTAAAAAAATATAAAAATAGGCCTAAATTCAACAAAATCCACTCAATCTTCAAAAAAGGGGACCGACCGACTGAAAATTTTTATTCGCCCTATCGGTAGGTCTGGTCGAGACATTTCCGAAACTGTGTCGCAATCGGGTCCCCGTCACCGGCAACACCCTCAAAACGATTAAATAGGCCCAAATTCAACGAAATCCACTCAATCTTCAAAAAAGGGGACCGACCGACTGAAAATTTTTATTCGCCTAATCGGTAGGTCTGGTCGAGACATTTCCGAAACTGTGCCGCAATCGGGTCCCCGTCACCGGCAACACCCTCAAAACGATTAAATAGGCCTGAATTCAACGAAATCCACTCAATCTTCAAAAAAGGGGACCGACCGACTGAAAATTTTTATTCGCCTAATCGGTAGGTCTGGTCGAGACATTTCCGAAACTGTGCCGCAATCGGGTCCCCGTCACCGGCAACACCCTCAAAACGATTAATTAGGCCTAAATTCAACAAAATCCACTCAATCTTCAAAAAAGGGGACCGACCGACTGAAAATTTTTATTCGCCCTATCGATAGGTCAAGTCGAGACATTTCTGAAACTATGCCGCAATCGGGTCCCCGTCACCGGCAACGTCCTCAAAATCATCAATCAAGAACCTACATAGCCCCTAAATCCGACTGAGTCCCTCACTCACTTTTTTTGGGGTCAAGGAATAGTCGTAGAGACTTAAGGTTCTATCCATTCGATTCCAAATTTTATGGAAAAATGGGATAAAATCCCAACAGTTGAAAATTCCTCACCGTTTCCGAGCAAACCTACTCAATCTTCTAAAAAGGGGACCGACTGACTAAAAATTTTTATTCGCCCCATCGGTAGGTCTGGTCGAGAATTTCCGAAACTGTGCCGCAGTCGGGTCCCCGCCACCGGCAATGGGGTAAATAATCATCAATCATCAAGAGCCTATATAGCCCCAATCCGACTGACTGACTCACTGACGCACTCACTCACTCACTCATAGAAATGTTTAGGGTCAAGGGGTGGTCGTAGAGACTTCCATTCACCTCTATCCTTGTCAAAGTAGTCTTAAATATTTTCCGGACCTTGTATGCACCCATTGACTGCCACAGTAGCCAAAGCAATACAAGCTATCTATTTGGGCAGTAAAAGTATAGCTTAATTATATGGTCAAAAGTTGTTAAATAGACCGTTCAAAGAAGCAGTACATTTACTTCCTTGGAAAATTTGCCTTTGGTCACCTTGGACGTACTGAAAATACTTCGGCACGCGCCCCACACATGCGGGGGTCTGGGGGCGGAGCCCCCAGCGAGCAGCGCGAGTTTGAGTGTATATGTACCCATCACAAGTACGATGACTCTCCACTGAAAGTGTCAGGATTTTTTGCAAATTAACTATTGGAACGAATGATTCCCAGGACTGAGTGTACATACACACGATTTTAGGAGTGCGTAACTCTCCGGTTAGGACAGTGGACAAGAATTCTTATAAAGAACTCTCTGATGTTGGTGTGCGTTAATTTTGCGCGTCATTAAGAGTTCCTCTGTATTTCACGAGAGTCAACATTCCGAAAATGAACATAAGCGCACATTACAAGTACATGCATGCATGAAAGATCGCCGTCTCAAAGTTTCTGTGAAAACTAGAACACAAGACTGGTCGTAATCAAGGTTCTCAACAAAATGCATTTTTAAAAAGTTCCAAATAATCTATTAAAACTTAAGCAGAGGGGCACGCTTACAACTTTCACTGCAAGAAAAGTTGTGAATAGTACAACAAAAACTGTACAATTAAAGTGCAACAGGCATTGTAGAAAGTACAACGAGAATTGTACAAACCACAACGAGGCCTGGACTTCACAGCACTCATTATGCCGGTTCCATTGTACTTTGTACAACAGTTGTTGTACTTTAAAAGTACAATTAAAACCTGATAAAAAACTTGCCAGAAATTTGTGTACTTTTGTTGTGGTTTTTTCTTGCAGTGATTTATGGGGCGTTTTGAGCGTAATAGTTCCGAATTTTCGAAGTATCTTAGTAAGCTTATCCATGCTAAAAGAACTTTTTTATACCGCACTCTTAAAACCTTACGAAGTATTTTGAGCATACATATAACAAACTAAAATACTTTGTTATACGAAGAAATAGTAATTACGAAGTATTTTCTTTGTAAGCTTACGTATGCTCAAAATTCTTTGTTAAACAAACTTCTTTTCTTTGTAAGGCCCAAAATAGTTTGTAAGGTTTTCTCAGTGCGAGCTTCTTTATTTTGTGGGGCCCATAATAATTTTCTATTTTTTTTTAAAGTGTTTGTTGAAGTTGCGAGGCGCTTGTCTGACGGTGGGGTGCGTGTTGCCAGGTGGCCGCGCTCGCCGCGAGGGCGCCAAGAGCCAGACGCGGCAGGTGAAGGTGCCGCGGCAGGGCGCCGCCTCCGCCACGTTCGACATCACCCCCAGGAAGGTGGGCCACGTGATGCTCAAGGTCACCGCCGTGGGCGACAAGGCCGGGGACGCACTGGAGCGGCCCCTCAAGGTCAAGGTAAGAGAGAGACGGGAATGCTTAAGGATAGTCGATTTTGGAATGTTTTGCTTCAGAAATCTTGCACTACTTAGGAAACAAGAAACTTCTTGAGGTTTGAAACAAAATAAAAAATGATCTCGTGGCTCGCGCGCTAGGGTCGTCTCTGTCTGTGGATCAATGCTTTGAGGTTTCCGTGTACGAAAGGACAGGAGAATGCACGAGGACATCAAAATGAGTAAGATTCACCCTTTTATAAATCATTTCATTAGATATCAGATTAAACAATACAAACTGGAACGTGTACAATTTAATGGAACTTAATCAAAGCATATTGCTGCTTTTTTTTTCTAAAGCAATAACAACATAACAAAAACAAATCCTTGCGTTAAATTAAATACAAATATCATCCCCGTGGGGACTAGGCAGGCACATTCTCTTCTTGAACGACTTTTCTTCCGGCTTCATCGGATGACAGAAGGTGGAACAGATATCTTGATGTCAGCTTGTGGACGTGGCATGCTCAGGTTGGACAGCATTGAGCTCAGGTCGCTCAGCTGTTCCTCTCCGATGCCAGTTTCGGCACAGATGGCTGAAACACAAAACAAGCAACTGTTAGTTACCCTATTGGCTAAGACATCACTCTCATTCAGGTTGTCATTCACTCTGCAGATGCTATTTCTAGAGCGATATGCTGAAAGGCATGTCAAAACAAATCTATTTAATTGGTAGATCTTTTAGAACGAACGGTGAGCATAAAATATAAAAAGTCATGAAAATGTCTATCCAAAGTTTGAATTACTTTCCGAAAGGACCTTCACTTTCTTGAAATTGATTTCCACAGCCAGAATTCGTTAGAAAGTTTTCCACAGTTCGGAATGACTTGTTGAGTTTCATGGCCAAAACCTTCATTTGAATTGTGTCTTTGTGCCAAAATCCTAGCCATATCTTTAAAAAGACTCGTTTATTTGTAGAGTATTTAACACAAACTTTTAACTGGACATCTCTCATTTCCTAGGCTGATACGTAAAACATGCCCTGGGAGCATCATATAATAAAAGTTAAATTTAAGATGTCGCTAAGCTTCCAAAACAGCCCTAAGCATCCTAAAATTTGTAAAAATATTTTATCTAAGAAAATGTGCTTTCTGTCATAAGATGGTTTTTTCGGGCTTTTAGTAATGCCATGGTTTATGAGCCACATGAGTCAAGCATAGCATATATAAAACAAGTTTTGATAGCAGACTTTTCTGCATGAAGAAAAAAACCACAAGATTCCCTAGGAATATCTTTCAAAATTAAAGTAGGTTCATCTTGTAGTAAAAAATCCTAGCACGACTGGGCAAATCCATTCCCAAAGTTAGGCTCCGACTCTTATTGGTTTCTTGAGTAAAGTAGATTTACGTAAACATTTGTTTGTTCCCCCAAAAATCTCCTCACGTCAAAGGAAACAAAAACAAGAAACAATTTCAACAATTGTGCCGTCAAAAACATAAGTAAAAGCTATGGTTGCCCATCTAAGTTAAATCTAGGCCAATGTTTGTTTTTTTATGTCAGAATCTGAAGGCTAGGTACATTCCCTGAATTCCATTGAGAATTTTGGAAAAACAGTCAAAAGTTGCTCTAAGTGACCGTAACTTGAAAACTAAAAAGAAAAGGTACAGGGCGAGTTTCCTCAATGTGTCAATAATTTGCAGGCAGTTTGGGCATCCCTAGGGGACCATTTTTCGCCAATGAACTAGTGGGCGCAAACGTCTAGGTATGGAGATAATTGGTGTTTTGCAATTGGATTTTGCGCCTACGAGGTAGGCACCCGGTGCCACTGAGGGTGGCAGGACCTGTCGAGGGGGTGTCGCGGGACTAGCAGTACTCGCGGGAGTGCCACTGACCTCGCGGAAGTATCCGAGGAATCCCGCCACCCTCGCAAAGACAGCCGTGAGATCCACTGTAACGGGGACCACCATGACAGCCTCTTCAGACCCGGGGCAACCCCTCCCAAAAGACATTTGCAAGGTCCGCCGCACCCCTACGAGACTCGAAGCACCCCTCCTAGACCCGCGACACCCCCACGCGAGGCCCTGCGACCATCAGTGGCTGCGGGTGCCTACCTCGCAGGCGCGAAGGCCAATTACAAAACACCAATTATCTCCGTACCTAGACGTTTGCGCCCACTAGTTCATTGGTAGAAAATGATCGCCTTGGGGTGCCCAAACTACCTACAAATTATTGACACATTGAGAAAACTCACCCTGTAGAATCTTTTCCTTGGAGAATGCGTTTTACCATTACAACAAAAAAAAATTTAAGTAGCTATGACTTATATTGGAAGTGTTTTTTTTTAAGGCACATTTTCTTCCTTTTAAAACTTTCTGTAACAAATACTATCACTACTGTCACCCAATAAAAAGGAGAAACCTTACCTGCTGGCGACAGCATATTAACTTCGAAGACGAAAGAGCCATGCTTGTTGGGGTCCGGGACGAGACGATCGGAAGCCACGTCTTTGAGGCGCTGGCAGCGGTGGCAGCGAACTTCGAAGACGGAGGCCAGGCCGTACACTGTCTCTCCCTCGATGCACCCGAAGCTCAAAGGCTCCTTGCAGCCATCACACCACATTTGTTTGCCCACGAAACGCAAGTCCATCACTCGGCTGCTGTCTGCCAGAGGATAGGTGCGCTCCGAGGCTGTTTTCTTCGTCTCCTGGGCAGCGGCCTTGGCGTCGGCGTTCTCTCTCTCTTCAGCAGCTCTTCTCTTGGCGACGGCCTTCTTGATGCGTCCGTTTCTGCGGCCTGGCATGATTGCAGTTGGATGTGTAGCTGTCGGAGTTGACGAAGACGGTGCGAAGCAGGGAGGACGGAGCACGACTGACTGGACTGAGGGGCGAGCGTGAACTGAACTGAACGACGGGAACGGGAACGGCCCGGTGGTTGGCTGGCTTTGGATTGGTTGCCAGACCGGGCCGAGTAGAGTGCGCTCAGGTCACAAGACTTCGGGGGTTGTCGGGCGGTGCACCCGAGCCGCGATCGCGCCCGAATGCGCCCGAGTGTTCTACCCGCTCACGATTCGTCTTTCCGAAGGGAGCTTGCATGCCGGCCATGGCCGGTCCCTGCAGGGACCCTTCTTCCGGGAAACCCTATCCTAGAAAGGAAAGGGGCTTTGCTCGGCGGCGGCGACCGAATGCGCGCGTTTCGCACGCAGAAAATTTTACCGCCTGGAAGGACCCAATGCGCCGGGTCCAGCAAGCCGGGACCGCGGACCTGTTTCTCGTGTTTCTGCGAAAATATGGCCGTTTTCATGATCAATATAAATACGGAAACATTAAGTGTGTACATGGGTTCATTTGGGGCAACTGCGGGTGTTTCGTACTCCGAACCCGTTTTCTCTGTACCTTTTCCGTGCAAAACTACGGAATTTTTTTTTCAGAGCGCCGCAAAGCTACTTTCAGCAGCTAGCCTGCAACTTTTTATGTGTGCCTTGCTTACGTCACCTTTTCGTTTCCAGGCGGAGGGCGAAACGCAGTACCGCAACAAGGCCATCCCGGTGTCCCTCGTCAAGGAGAAGACCTTCAAGGCGATCGTGCCCCTCGAGTTCCCCGAGAACACGGTGCCCGACTCCGAAACCGTGGAGGTGTCTGCCATCGGTGAGAAGCTTGTCTTTCCTCCAATGTTATCTTTCAATACTTGAGGCCATAGGAGTAGAGCACCTACTTTGTTTGAAGAAATGTGGAGATGTGGTGATTTCTGACCGACATTTTTGATTTCCAGAAATCGTTGATTTAACTTATGTTTCTGGTGGCGAAGTGTTCATTCACACTAAATGTTAAGAATAAGTGTTATATTTCCCCCCTTTTTTTTAGCAACATTTGAAACAATTTATGTTTGACCGTAGCTGTGGGTGAGGCAAAGGTTTCGCAACGTCTCCCTTCGTATTGGCCTGGACCGAACTGTCCCAATATCCGTTTCACGGGGCTGCGGCAGGTACACCGTGTGGTCCGAGCCGTGGGAGAGACCGGTGGCTATTCTCAGTAGTTCTCCCTACGTCCAGTATTGAGGCCGGATTAGGGCCTATGGAGGTTTCCGTGTTCCTCCTTCTCGGACCGCCGTAAAGCCGGTTCAGGTCAGCGACCTAGTTTACAATGTTATGCATAATTTTGTACGAGACATCACGTTTTTTGTGCCGATAAACTCTTTGTACAAATTTCGTACGATAAACTGGACATGTTTTTCCGAACTTTTTTGTAAAAATCGCGTACAAATATGTACGAAAAATTCATCTTCACCAAAAAATACGACGTATGATGTCTCGCACTTAAACATTTTGGGTGTAACCTGCCCGCATTCGAGGTACAGAACGCCTACCCTCTAACCCATGGTTGTAAGATTTGCTGACGCCTTCCTAACCGTTGACTGTTGCGAGTGGACGGTGAACTTTTGGCTCATCTTCAATTTTACACGTTTTGTTTTCCTTCGACGTGAGAACCTTCATGAGCATGATTGAAATACCGTATCACCTCGAATATCATGATGCGTTGCCTTGCAGGCGATGTTCTTGGACCCAGCACAGCCAACCTGGATACACTCATTAGGATGCCTTTCGGGTGCGGCGAGCAGAACATGCTCAACTTTGTCCCCAACATCGTCATCATGAAGTACCTGAATGTAAGTGTTTTAGCACCGTGTCGAACTTAATGACTTAGCATTGCTTATGTTACAAAATTTTGATCATGTGGTTTTTTCCCTCTTTTTTTTGCTTTTTTTCCCTTTTGTACTCTGCAAACTCAACAGTGTACTCAGGACACTCTCTTGAGCGTGTACTCAAGGGTACACTTTCTTCAGCGCGTGCTCACAAGCACACTCCCACGAGCGTGTACTCAACTGCATGTTTCCAGGATCTGAGCACACTCTCGTTAGAGTGTACTCATGTAAGCACACTCTCGTTGGAGTGTACTCTTCTAAGGACACTCTCGTCAGAGTGTACTCATCTGAGTACACTCCTGTCGGAGTGTACTTGTGAGTACACGCTACAGAGTGTGCTGAGCACACTGTTGAGTTTGCAGAGTAATCCTGAAATCTTAGCCGTGTGACACTGCCTAAAACGGACGCCATGACCCGTACTCTACCAACATTCACTATCTTTCCAGCACACCAACAAGCTGACGCCCGTCCTGGAGCGCAAGGCGCGCTCCTTCACGGAGATGGGTTACCAGAAGGAGATGACCTACCGCCACAAGGACGGCTCTTTCAGCGCGTTCGGGGAGTCGGACCGCAGCGGCAGCACGTGGTGCGTGAGGCGGAGTGGGTTCGATTCATGGGATACGACCGTTCGGAGGGGATTTACACTGTGAAAATTTGTTGTCACTTCATGACTGAAACGTGGATTGTATTTTCATCACTTTCAAACGATGACTCCTATACTTTTTGAATGGGCGTGACAACAATGTCATCAATTGTTTTGATGACATTTTTGTAAGGAAAATTAGCCTTGAAATTGTCATCAAGTGACGACTCAAATTTTCTCAGTGTAGCTGAGAAAAGGTCGCGTCGCGGTTGCAAACTCAACAGTATACTCAGTTTACTCTCTTCAGCGTGTTCTCTTGAGAACTATACTTATGCTACCAGGCGTTGGGGTTGTACTCGGCTGAGTAGAATCTTGTAGGAGTTAACTTGTGAGCAGTGTACTGATGAGTTAGCTGAGAAGTTATGAACAGAAAAGGAGCTAGGACATATCCAGAGTTTTGCTGATTTACACTGTTGAACGACTGTCAGAAACATGGTACTAGGTTCATTATTAGTGTATTGGTATGGCCAGTTTAACTCTTTATAAAGTACGGCCAACTGATCCATGAAGCAGAAGAAGGGGATCACTCAATTTCCATCATTTTTCAGGAGAATAAAAAAAAACTGTTTGCAGGGAAAAGTAAATCCAAACAATAAATGATGCAAGTGGATTTGTCAACAGATCATTAGTAGCAACTGTGAAAGTTTTCAATAGTGTAACATCACTCTGTAGACGGTTTCTGTGATTTAAATCTTTACGTTAAAATAGACTACGGAACCATGTTCCCTTTGTTCTCCAAAACGAGGTGGAATTTGGAGACAATTTGGAGCTGAGGCCTGTTTGGTACAGTTGTGGAGTTACCTCTTTTTCCAAGTAGCTTTCTTAACTAAAAGGGGAGCTAAGTTGAGTTGCCTCCTTTTGAATCAGATTCTTTTTGCCATTTTGTGCAAGGGAGTCGTGTGGAGTTCAGTTGAGTGATCTTCATTTTCCGATGAAGCTTAGACCGTTAAAGGGGCCAAGTTGAGTTATATCCATCTTCCTTGTGGATTTCCCCCTAAAGTGCTAGGAATTTAGTCAAATATTGTGATGTCATGATGCAGACCATCCTAAGGCACAATATTAAAAACGAAGCTCAATTTGGTGATAAATCAAGTTATTCCCTTTTTCCGCTTCATAGACAAACTTTTCTTGTTTTCTTTTTTTTCACGGAGGAATAACATTTTGACATTTGCGCACATCAAATAGAGTATAAACATTTTTCTTTGTTTTATAAACATTTTTATCAATTTCATTTTGACCTAACGTTTAGTCTTGACAAAAAAATTTAGAGCGCACAAACGCTAATGAATACTGATAAAATGTCGATTGAGAGATGAGAGTGTTTGCACTCTTAAAACCTTACGAAGTATTTTGAGCATACAGAATACTACAAACTAATTTACTTTGTTATACGAAGAAATAGTTTGTAAAGTAGGAAGTATTTTCTTTGTAAGCTAATGTATGCTCAAAATACTGTGTTATAACAAGCTGCTGTAATTTGTAAGGCCTAAAAATGTTTGAGGATTTCTCAGTGTGAAGTACCGCTTGCTCTGTCCAGGCTGACGGCCTTCGTGGCCAAGTCCTTCCGTCTGGCCAAGTCGCTGGTGCCGGTGGAGGAGCGCGTCATCGAGGAGGCCCTGGAGTGGCTGTCCAAGCAGCAGGCCGAGAACGGCTCCTTCCCGGAGGTGGGCACCGTGAGCCACCGCGACATGCAGGGCGGCTCGGCCAAGGGGCTCGCCCTCACCGCCTACGTGCTCACCGCCTTCCTGCAGGAAAAGGTGAGCGCCGAGGGCACAATCGCCATTCGAACTGCATGTAAATGTCTTACGGTGAAAGGCTGCACCAACATATTATGGTGGAGATTTCCTCCATAATATCAACGAAATGCGTCAAAATATCTAGAAGGTACAGTGAATTCTCAATGGTATGTTCAATGAAGTGAGCTGCACCACCGTAATATGGAACATTTTCACCACAATATGGAGAATCTTCACGGTGTACTGCCCCTCACTCCCATTCCAGGAGCGTGTCATCCTTTGACCCTTGTGTCACATTCGTTTGGATGTGACTCAGCCTTGAATTAGTTAATTCACATTCTCACCATGATGCATAACATTGTGCTGAGCAATAAATAACTGTGCTGACGCCTTTCTTTTGCTTGCCTTGCAGGACGCTACGTTCAAGCACCAGGACGCGGCCAAGAAGGCCCTCGACTACTTGGTGAAGAACATGGCCAGCCTGGACGACCCGTACGCCATCGCTATCACCACCTACGCCCTGCACCTGGCCGGCCACCCCTCCAAGGACGAGGCCTTCAAGATGCTGGACGCCAGGGCCCAGTCTGCGCGTAAGAGAAGCGTTCCAAATCTTCGTCTTTTCAGTGTTTAGGTTCAGTTGGGTTAATTTTGTTCGAGGGGTCAAAAATGGGCGAGCTGTTTTCTGGGCAGGATTTGACATTTTAGAACTTGTGGCAGTAATTCTCAACATTTTCCCCATATATGCAGCCAAAAATTTTCGCTACACCACGTAATATTCCTCCTCCCCCTCTCCCATGAAAATAATCACAGCCTCCTTTTAAAAACCCTATCAAATTCTGGAAAAGGAAACATAAATCCTAACCTCACCTCAGTTACACCAACAATGCGAGTTGTGGATGGGCCATTTGCAATAATATCGGCGCCACCCGCCACAGCTGTGGTTGAGTCAGTTAGTCAGGTCAAGCCCCTCGCTACCGTGTGTCGAGGCGTCCTTCCTTACCTCCAATTAAGCATTAATCTCCCTCACCCTTCCGAGAAGGAATTTTCCCCCTAGCACACGGCGCCTGCAGGCCTCCCTCCGTACACCCGTGCAACGACAAACAGGCGGTGGGTTTATCCAGCTTCCGCGAATCTGTGCTCCCGGCAGCTCGGCTTTGCGGCCAACGGGGAAGACGCCGCGACCCCAGCTACATGGGGTGCCCAGAAACTGGGCGCCTTTGTCGCCCACCCCACTCTTTAGGGTGCCAAATGTCGGCCAGTTTCTGGGCACCTTTGTCGCCCAGTCTCGGGGTGGACAAATCATACAGTAACCGGCCCTCTCCCATGGTAGAGCATGCTCAGGTGTCTAGATCCTGGGCGACTAAGGTGCATAGATTCTGGGCACCTACGGCACCTCAGACGCTGCTGAGCCATGGCTGAAGGCAGGTTTCTTAATGGTTTGTCCACCCCGAGACTGGGTGGCAAAGGTGCCCAGGAACTGGGCGACAAAGGCGCACAGTTTCTGGGCACCCCATATTTAGAGTGTAGGCCAGCTTTCCTACCCCTCAAAATGTTTCCGCGACCCCAAGGTTGAGAACCGCTCACACTAAATGTTTATGCATAATTTTGTACGTGCCACTTGCACGATTTTGTGCATGCGGGGAATTTGCATAATATTATGCGTGAAAATGCATAAATTTATGCAAATTCACGCACAGTTTTATGCACGACGGCACACAAGTTTAAAATTATGCATCACCACGTACAAAATTGTACATAAACATTTAGTGTGCTGACTTATACTGTACCAAATTTTATTTTTACATTAAAACCCTGGATGAAAGCACCATCTTTGGTTTGCCATGAGTCCTCAAATCACATCCTTTCCCGGAGACAGCTGTCCCAATTTTACCCCGGGTCCCAAAAGTACCCCAGCTGACCTCACACGTGATTTTGACCTACGTCATATCTTCGTGTAATGCAACCAACTTCTATTTGTCAATCTTAAGCCCGTTTTGTTTTTGTTCACTTTGCTGCCAACACCCTTTTTTATACTTTTTCTAGTGCTAGACCGCTAAACCTCCACACCAAATGTTTAGGTAGAATTTTGTACGTACAACCCACACGATTTTGTGCATACGTGGAATATGCATAATATCATGCGTGAAAATGCACGAATTTATGCAAATTCACGCACAATTTTATGCACGACGGTACGCAGGTTTAAAATAATGCATCACCACGTACATAATTGTACATAAACATTTAGTGTGTCTTAACAGGGCAATGCACTCCAAATCTAAAGGCGGTAATTTTTCCACCCTTCACTGGCGGTAATTTTGTATTGGCGGTGTCCACGTTTTACCGCCAATACGAAGGCGGTACAGAAATTACCGCCCTAACAGAACCGTTTGTACCTCCTTTCGAGAGCTTTACCCCCTTTTTCTTGGCACTCTGAGGAAACGTTACTGGCGGTAATATTTTGTACCTCCTTTTACGCACCATCTAAACGGCTCGCAATTGGGCGGTAATACACTGTACCGCCGTTTTCCTTCGGTTTGTAGAGTGCGTAATTGGCAGGCTCCAGATTTTACCGCCAATACGAAAGCGGTACACGTTTTACCTCCTTCGCCACACCGTGTGTACCGCCCATAGATTTGTAGTGTGATCGCCAAAATCTTGTTGGCTGAGCGATAGCGAAGCCTGTTACTCCAGTGGGGTTGAAAAGTTTTTTCTGTCTGTCTGTCTGTCTGTCTGTCTGTGTGTCTGTGTGTCTGTGTGTGTACACTACTCCTCCTGAACGGCTCGGCCGATCCGGCTGAGATTTTGCAGGCTTATTAGGTATGTCCTTGGCTCGGCACACGCGAAATTTCACCATCCTAGCTCAACTGGTTCAGATTTTATAGCCGAAAAACACCTAAAAAACGGCGAAAAATCGAGTTTTCTGCAGGTAGATCACCTCTGTCTTGAAGAAAGTGGGGTCTGGGGGGCTCCGCCCCCCAGCCCCGACAAGTCAAAAAGTGACAAGGGTCATGGTCGTGTTATCTGCCGATGAAGCAACTCTCTAGAATTAAGGGGGGTCTGGGGGGCGGAGCCCCCCAGCATGCAACACGGAAGAAGTAACCGCGGATGGACAAGCCAATGCCTGCCGAAGGCAGGCTAGCGCCGCAGGCCAAGGTAGGTACGCCAGGCGCGGATTGAAGGAACAGGCCGCGAGACATCGCGAAGCCTGTTACGACAAGACGCGGTCTGGCGTAAACCTACCTTGTAATTTGCTTCGTTGTATGCTTGCGATGAACGCTGCGACATCTCAAATCTCGCTGCATAACAGTTGAGAAGCTCATGTGAATGCTCGTCTTCCTCGCAGGCGGACTCCGCTGGTGGAACAAGACTGAGAAGGCCGACCCCGAGAACCCCTTCTGGGGGCAGCCCAACTCCGTCAACGTGGAGATGACGGCCTACGCCCTGCTGACGTACCTGGAGCGCGGCCTGGCCGAGGAGGCCTTCCCCATCATGCAGTGGCTCATCGAGCAGCGCAACTCCAACGGCGGGTTCGCCTCGACGCAGGTACTGTGTTGTCAACGTTCATTTTCAATAAATTGCGCACATTTTTTTCAACATCTTTTGTCAAAATTAATTTTAGTAATTACTTTGAGTCTCTTTGTTGGAATAGACTCAGAAAGGTTCCAATATTCTAAGAAAATTTTCTGTTCGATGAATATTGAGATGCTGTGGGCCATAGGAGGACGAGAAGTCAAAAACGGTGTTAATTTTGACTTCTCGTTCTTCTGTAGGCAACGGCATCACAAATTCCATCAAATTTGAAATTTCTTTTCATTTCCTTTTCATGTATGATTACGCATGCACAGATACGTACGTGAGCTAAGTGTCCTAGAGTCCTTTAGGACTCTCAGTTAGGTGTGTATAATGTTATGCATCACTGAACATTTTGTGCATGAAGATGCATAAAATGTGCACATTACACTCTACAAAAAATGTCCTGTCAACGCCGTTAATTTATTACCAATGTTTGCTGTTTTGCAATTCACGGCGTTTGCTGTGAACTAGTTCACGGCGTTCACTGTGATCTCGGTTACAGTGTTCACTGTGATCTGGCCACAGTAAACGCCGTGAATTGGAGCCTGATTTGCAGTACTTCGGTGCTTAGCGGCGTCAAACTCACAGTGTTTACTGGGGACCAGATCACAGTGAACACCGCGAACAAGATCACAGTGAATCCCGTGAGCAGATCACAGTAAACGCTGTGAATTGACCTACAGTGAAAACTGGTAATAAATTAACGGCATTTACATGACATTTTTGGTAGAGTGTAATGCATAATCTTACGCACACCTTACGTACGTATCTGTGCATTATTAAATATGCATAAAAAGTGCATAATTATGCATTAAAACAGTCGTTAAGAATTTGGTGTGACCAGCTAGGCGCCTGCAAACGAAGGGTAGGCCCGCCCGCAACACAGCCCGTCCCAACGGGTGGCCTATCCTAAGTTCGCAGGCGCTCTGAATCAGATCTGTCTCAGATGTCGCAAGAGTTGCCTACCTACAGGGGCAACGTGCGACTTGTTCTTATTATCTGCATTTTCGTTCGTACTTTCTGACAAAAATAAATTTCTAGATAATTTTAAGCAGTAAATTGTTTGTATCTAAGAAGGAAGTATTAAATATTATTGTTGTAGGCGATTTTATTTGGTTACTGACGATAAAGCCAATGAGAGGCTGAGTGGCTTGAGATGCAATAAGAGGCTCTGATGTCTGTACAAGGGCTTGCCCTCAGACCTGTTTAATATTGAGTATATCCGTGTAATAAAATACAGTGCTCAGGAGAGGGACGATCCCGTACAGAAAAATTCAGTACGCTTTTGGGTCGTTTTCGGGACGCTTTTAGGTCGCTCCCCTGTCGACTAGGTCGCTTTTGATGCGCGCGCAGTGAGACTATTACGCTTTTGGTCTTCGAAACAAGGAGGACTGGTTCGCGAAGGGTGCGCTTTGCCGGGACTGGGGCGTGAATAGGACGCGTCGTTGGCCCGTCGGAGGCGTACTAGTTCGCTAAAGGTTCGCGTGCGAAGGGACTAGGTCGCTTTTGGTCACCGGCAGAGCGGACTAGTTCGCTCGGAGTACGCGAAACGCGGCCTCATCACGCCCCAGTCCGCCCTGGACGGGTACTAAAAGCGTACTGGTGCGCTCTGCCGGTGACCAAAAGCGACCCAGTCCTCACGAACGCGAACCTTTAGCGACCCAGTGCGCCTCCGATGGGCCACACGCACTGCCGTCGTCTTAGAGGCCGCACATTCTTCTTGCCCTCCGGTACCCTGTGCGAAGAGTTTGCCATAAGGGGCATATTGGGGCCCCTTTGAACTACGTAGCCTATGTCTCTACCGTAGTTTAAAATCATGGTAAAAGTAATCCGACAGTTTCAAATGCTGCCTGATAACAATCTGCCAGTAAGATACTAATGCCACGTCGCCAATCTAGTCACTAAATAGATTCAGCTTTGGTAACAAAACAACACACTAAATGTTTACGTACAATTTTGTACGTGGTGATGCATAATTTCAAACTTGTGTGCCGTCGTGCATAAAATTGTGCGTGAATTTGCATAAATTTATGCATTTTCACGCGTAATATTATGCAAATTCCCCGCATGCACAAAATCGTGCAAGTGGCACGCACAAAATTCTACATAAACATTTAGTGTGAATGACACAGTGCCGATATGCAATTTTCAGCTCGTGTAGTTTTCTTCGGGCCAAACCTTTAACTCGGGGTCAAATTAAAACAATTTTCCCGTAGCACTCTTGTGCGCTTGTGACGAAGTATCTAATCATGATATCCGCGTCGAAAACCGCATCTCTCTATCTTTATTCTGGCGCCCTCCAGAGAGCGAAGACTGAGTGCGAGCGGAGCGCTGGGCGCCGAGCCGCGCTGAGCCAGTGAAGAGGCTCGCCTGCGGGCCCAGTCCTCGTGTTTCAGGTTAGCGCAGTGGGCAGCGACGTCGACACCGAGGATCCAGAGGAGTCCACATCACCGAAGGCCAGTGGTTCGACTACCATCAGCACCGACGCCCTCAAAAGAAAATGCCAGCCCCTCCCCCAGTGTCGGCCCTCTCTTTTGACTCTCGGAATCGGACGGGGACTAAAAGCGTACTAGTCCCCCCCCTCACCGAAAGCGAACTAAAAGCGTACCGATCCGGCGCGGACTAGGACGCTTTGAGGGCGGTTTTTGGTCGATTTGGGCCAGGAAGCGGACTAGTCCCCTCGTCGGAGGGGACTAAAAGCGACCTAGTCTACGCGTACCAAAAGCGTACTGTTTGGGGACTAAAAGCGTACTGTATTTTTCTGTAAGGGATGACCCCCCCCCCTTTTTTTTCCTGGATCCGCACCATGATCTCTGTTTGTTCCACCTGACTGAAATCTCCTGTTGTGCTGTCCCTGCAGGACACGGTGGTGGGGCTGCAGGCGCTGGCCGCCATGGCGGAGCGCATCGCACTGCCCTCGGGCGACATGCGCATCGTCTTCTCGTACGCGGCCAAGGGCGCCAAGCAGGACACGCCTATCGTGGTGAACGCCAAGACCGGCTTGGTGCTGCAGCGGCACGAGGTGAGCAACCGACAGTTTAACCCCAGCTTGCCGATATTTGGCAAGCTTGTGCCGTTTTCAGGCTAAAGGTTGCCAAAATCTTGGCATTCAAAACGGCTTGCGAAAATTGTGGCAAGGAAACCTTTCACTGCCTTTATGCTATGTTTACTTACTACATTACTAAGCACTTTTTTGTGCATAAGCTTCGCATGAAATTGAGCATGCGTTTCGAAATGCACGAATTTGTGCGTTACTAAGCGCACCTTTCTTGACGGACTTGCGCGCCTCTTGTCCTAGCTGCCCCGCGACGTCCGCGAGGTCGAGCTGGCGGCCGAGGGCTCCGGCTTCTCGCTGGCGCAAGTCTCCTGGAGCTACAACGAGGCCACGGTGGGCAAGCACCCACTCTTCAAGCTGCGCGCCGAGGTGGCCGACAAGACGACGACCAACTTGCTGGTGCTGCGGGTGTGCTCCAGGTAAGACACGCACCCCCGCCAGGGACTCTACACACAAGCGCTCCGTGCACAGTGGGCCAGAAGACCGGCGCCGGCCGTCAAAATCCCGGACGCGTTTTGAGCTCCAGAGTCGCCGAATGGGACTCGAACCGAACGTGTGACCCCAACGATGGCCGGCAAAGTCGTGCTACCTTCTTTTGTCATGGAAAGGCTAATGTATTGGGTCTGCAGCTTCATCGCGGGGCCGTGGGGCTCCGAGAGCAACATGGCGGTGGTGGAGGTGTCGCTGCCGTCGGGCTTTACAGTGGACCAGGACGCGCTGCCCGCCCTCAAGGAGAACGGCAACGTGAAGCGTGTCGAGACCAAGGACCAGGACACCGTCCTCGTGCTCTACTTCGACAAGGTGAGCGTCGCGGTGGCACCCTTACAATTGCAAACACACCCACAATTGCATTCTTGCAAACATTAAAAGATGCGTACTTAGTCAAGTATACACTTACAGCCCTCACTGCAAAGCCGGTGGCAGGTTAACTTGCCACAAATTTGTCACGCCGTTTTGAATGCCAAAATTTGGCAAGCATGACCTGAAAATACGCCTCAGCTTGCCAAAATTTGGCAAGCCTGGCTTGTAAATACTCCCCGAGCAAACTTACCACTAGCTTTGCAGTGCTGTAACTACATGCTTAACTGCTCTTACTTTAAGTGTATACTTCGCCAAGTATGCGTAAAGGATAGGTATTGTGCGTACTTAGTGGACAGTAACTGTCGAACTTAATTGTTAAGTTCGTCGTGTTCGTGGTCAAAGGATTCCGTTCGTTTAAATTCTTCATGGAGAAAATCGTGACGTGAAAAGCACGTAACATTTTGTAAAATTCTGTCAAAATTTAATGCTTGCTTGCACCACCTCTCAGAACTAAACCAAAATTGAACGAAAAGTGCGGTCGCTCACGGTTGACACTTCGTTCATAATGACTTCAAACTAGTCTAATTTAGTAAAATGTGCCAATACGCAGTATGCAGGAGTGTTGAACTGACCACGGCCTTTGCCTCACGTTTCCAGATGGAAACCAAGGAGTACTGCGTCGAGGTGTCCGCCATCCGTACCCACCTTGTGTCCAACCAGAAGCCGGTCCCCGTCACCGTGTACGACTACTACGATCAGAGTAAGTAGAACAATTTTGTAAAGGAAAGAATTATTGATTCTTTGCTTCACTGCAAATCCAACTGTAGGGCAGGCATATAACGTGGGACATGTCCCACGTTTTCCAGCACATGCCTGTTGGAGTGCCAGTCCCAGACGGTCCCATTCTTTTATTTGCAGTGAATTTCTTTCTCAAGATCCTCATGGCTGATCCTCATTGACTAGAAGGAGAATTTAATGTTAATAAAACGTTCATTTGAATCAACATTTCAAAAAATCGTATTGCACTAATTCATTAATGACTTCTGTTTCTCGTTGTGAAAGGTGTGGTTTCGCAAGGGTACACTGGTGAAACTAAAGCGCAGTATTACCCTCTGTTTTTCAAGGGTAATCAGCTTACGCTTGAAATCAAGCGGAACAGGCTCAACCGCCAAGATTCCCGGCGATTCCTCATCTTAATGCATGGTGGAATCTCCAGACTAGGCCTCATTTCAAGCGTAACGTCTTCAAGCGTAACTCTGCGCTGGACTCAAGCGTAGAGTTACGCCTTAATTTTACCAGTGTAATTCCTTCTGCAACGATAAAACAATGTGCACCTTTATTTCTTGTCCGTGCATGAATATTACGAAATTCAGCGTACGCAATGAAGCTTCAAAGTCAATATCAACGCGGTGAAAACATCTCCAATATGTTTTATTGTGTGTGTGCAGCCCGGCGTGCTCGTGTGTTCTACGAGCCTCCCGCAGCCGACCTCGCCGACAAGGGGCAGTGAACGGAACATGAAGCAACGCAGCCAAAGCAGTCTTCGGGCGCGGGGTTTCGTCGTGGTAGCCTTGCAGCAAAGTGGAGTCTTCCATCTGTCCGAAAGGACGAATAATTCGCTTTCGCAAACTTCAACCTATCCTTTTCATTTGAAATACAACTTTGCACAAAAGTATCTGAGGTAATTTTTTATTCACAGTGGACTAAGTCAAATCCAATTCGAGATGAAATCAACTTTTTTACGGTCTTAAAATCTCCTCTAATAGTAAAAAAAAATCGTCCAGACCCACAAATGTGCAAATACTATTAGGAAGCATTTTGATAACAAGTGACAACTTTTGAGTCCACTTACTCCTGTCCTACCAAATTTATCTCATCCGTCACCCCTTGACTGTTTGTCAAAGAAAGAAAGCATTTTCAGTTAGATGAGGTATTGTTGGCCCCTTCGAGCACCGGCTTCGAGACGATCTTAACTTCCCGCATCTGCAGGATTAAGACAAAGAAGTTGACTACCGACCCCAAACCCTGAAAAAAGAGAAACAATAGACACTCTGAAAACCAGAATACGTTTGTGAAGGGATCACACACGACATGTACATGAATAAAGAGCTGCATTACTGTAAATCAAATTTTTTTCATTTCCATGTTTCCAGACAGGTCGCCAAACATCTCCCTGCTATCAAAATCCCATTTACATCGCAAATAAAAAAAATGGGCGGGTCTCATACCAAATCACTATGTAGGATTTTCCGCATTTGCAACGCACCAAGTTCTGCACTACGTAGCGCACAAACTTGTACGCAACAATGAACTTTTTTTTTTGCATACCCGCGCTAAAAATCACTCATGTTTGCGTACGAACTCGTGCGCTCCAAAGTACAAGTTGACTTTTCTGCGCGGGCGCGAATGAAATCCTACAAGTTAATGTGTTTAGTCCTACCCGGGAAACTTCTTTCCAGGTTTCAAATCTTCGAATTTTATGCGAGACTCAATTGCCAAACAGGCCACAATAGTTGGAACCAATGACAATATAAACATTTTAGAGCTGCGTGACACAATTTTTTTTGTGATTGCGAAATTTGTTGTGCAAGTAAGTACGCAGAATTGCTCAAATTCTTTCCAAATTTCGTACAATTCAAAGGGTACTTGCCGTCAATGTCAAATTTAGTTCCAAAGTCACAACACGGCAAAGGCGCACAGCAGCGCCGCGCTGCGACATGTGTGAGCTAAAGGTTTCCAGCTGTAAAATAAAATCGGCGTATGTGTAACAGACCCCTCCCACACACTCGACACAGGACTTCAGGTCAAAAGCTTGCAATCCGCAATCTTATGAAGAGCCTATAGAAAGTATGAATCATTCTTTCTTTTGAAGATATTGTATGATCAAAATATGTCTTGAGATATAATGCTCTGATCTAATTTGCACTAGAAGGAGGAAAAAAAAGGGTATTGCAACTGAAAGAACCCTAGGGCTCATTGAAAGTAAGTCATGCTTGCCTGTTTAGTTTCCAGAGAAGTCAAATGACTGATGCTTGCCAACGACTGTGTTATGGTTATGGCTTTGTTTCCCTGTAAATAATAAGTGAAACGTCAGCGATTATTGGCTGAGCGATAGCGAAGCCCTTGCCGTGTTTGGGCGCTCCAAAAAGTGACTGGTCGTGAGTCTGTCTGTCCGTCTCTCTGTCTGTATGTAATCACTCACGTTTCTCAGCAACTACTGAACGAATAGTATCCAAATTTCACACCTGATGTCTCCTAAACATCCTACAGGGGGAGTTTATCTCAGATTAACAATTATCATCGTTTGAAATATTCCAAACATCGTTTTGAACTAGGTAATTAGCGTGGTTAGGTTGGTAGCAGTGTGTGGCTGACCAATTTCTCATACCGGCTGCCGCGCTTGCAAGCCGTCTGCAAGACGGGACGGCACTTATGCAAATAAACAAACTAAAGAGCAAAGGGGTTCTCAAATAGGTTCTGAGATAGTTTTTTAACATTCTAGAATGATTGAAACCCTTCCGGAGTGTCAACAGAGGAAAATACGAAAACTGAATGTGAGAATGGTTTGCGTGTTTCGTTCCCCTCTCCCCCCTCCCCCGTCTCAGGGGAATCTTCCTTTAGGTCAGTGCACTGTGAGTGTAGTTGTGGATTGTAAATAGAATGTTTCCTTTGCCTTTGTGTGTATCCACTGATTTTATTCTCTTTGAAACTATCCTGTTTTTTTAAATTTCATAGTAAATGAAATCAGGTAAATGCGTTGAAATTAGAAGACACGTTAATTGTCTTGGTTTGTCTCGGGAAATGACATTCTATTGCAATGCTGCAAGCTAACATAAATATTCTAGTACTAACATCTATTGATTAAAAGAATCCATAAATAGATGTATTTAGTGCAATAAATAATCCATATATTTAGTGCTAAAAGATTTTGAATTGATGTTGGGTTCAATGACACGATTCAGGTTTTGAGCGGTGGGTGACTTGGTAATTGGATTTAATGACACGATTGCTGTCACTTCACCAAAGTTTGTGTCCGACAACTGGAACCAAGTATTGGTAATGGTTTAGAAGCTGGTTCTCTGAATGTAAGCCCAATGTTAATAGTATACTGTATTCTTTTACTCCAAAGATAAAATATCACGAGGCATGATTAAGGTAAATTATGTTGGCATATTGAGCAACAAGTGGCCTCTGCATTTGACTTCATGAGACGATTCACTGAATTTGACAAAACTTGTTCTCCGTCGAATGCTTCAGATCAGCCTGCCCTTAACTGAGTCACTTAATGTAAACTATGATTACATATTCCAGTCTATATTGTTTAATTCACTGGTTTAAAATGAAAGAATGACAAAAGGCTTCTCAAATATAACTAATAAATTTGTGAATTCATTAGTTGGAAGAAAATGATGTATCCAATAGTGAGTCAAGCAGACGAATAGCAAATTAAGCGATTCAATGCTGGCAATGGAATGTTACTCGACTGAAGGAATCGCATTGGTGTGGCATCAAGGTATTTGGTGATGACAAAGGGTGATCCATGAAGACCAACCCAGACCCATTCTTTACCCATTATTGATCAATTTGATATCAATATTTTTCAATCGAATCTCATATTGATTTTTGGAGTGCTGATTATGAAAACCACTTCCATTTCTACTCCAGACTTATATTTTCATCTCAAATAAGGTCATTTCGGACCAAAATTTTCAGGTCGAGTTTTATATTGTTTCCTGCAGTGTTTGATGAGGTGAACTCAAAAATAACTTCAAAATTTTTCCCAGACTCACGCTTTACCAAATTTTGACCAAATTTGGACCAAAATTCTTGAATTGAGTTTGATGTTGATCCCAGCAGTTTTTTGTGTGCTGATAACGCAAATCACCTCCATTTTGACTCCAGACTTATATTTTCATCCCAAATTAGGTCATTTTGGACCAAAATTTTCAAATCGAGTTTTATATTGTTTCCTGCAGTTTTTGGTGCGCTGAACTCAAAAATGACTTCCAAATTTTTCCTAGACTCACGCATTACCGAATTTTAACCAATTTCGGACCAAAATTTTGGAATCGAGTTTGACGTTGATTCCAACAGTTTTTTGTGTGCTGATAACGAAAATCACCTCCATTTATACCCCAGACCTACATTTCACTCAATATGAGCCCACAAGCTGCACATTTCGTCTACATAAGCAAAGTCCGAAATGCACAAATTCGCATCGCTCAGCCACACTACGCGCCCACACTAAACGGCGCGTACCCCTAGTTTATTTTCCGAGACGGCTTGTCGCTGGTGATTTTCATTCTGTCACTTTACAACCGTTACGATGGAAACAAATTTGTTGTTGCAAGTTGCAAATAATTTCGTGCTTTAAAAATCCTGGATCACTGTGTGAGCTATATACTGGCAATAATGTTGATCGTAACTGAACAAACAAAGCTCTTTGCTGACAATGTTCTTAAATCACCTGCAGTCACGGATAGTGTTCTGCGCGGTTTAAAAGTTGCCGGTTGCAAGGAAAAGAAATAATAGTGCAGCTCTCCTCAAATAAGCAATGTTTGCTGCATATACCAGATTTTCAGGGAATCGTAGAATTGAGCTGCTCTCTCATCCGCTTATTACGTTTTGTCCATCGTTTCCAAGGGGTTTGGTGTATCAATGGTCATAAAGAGGATTTTAAAAGTTCCTTAAACAATTTTGCTCATTTATCAAAAACACATTGCCCATGAGCTCTGGATCCAGTATTGCGTAGCTTTAAGGGGGGACTATACTGAAAATGGGTTTTTCCAGGATTACCAGTACAGAAATTGTCTCTTGTTTTCCTTTGATAGAATATTACTCAAAACTATTTCAGCCGAAGTATGAAAATTTTCGGCCAAACGGTTTAGGAGATATTCAAAGGTAAAGTTAAAAATATATGTTCACTAAAAAGTTTCCTTGCGTCGTATTTTTAATGTCAGAAAATTCGACTTATCGTTTTTATAGTCCTAAAGACCTGTTCTACAGGTTCTCTAAGCCGCTTTTTTCATTTTCGACCTCCAAATCTTTTTTTTCAGACGCGCTTTTTTTACAAACAAAAAACTGGTCAAAATTGCTTAAAATTGACCAAAAACTGACCATTTTCTAGTAACATTAAAAAATTCTGACCAAAATTCAAAAATCCGGCTTAGAGACCCTGTGAAGAACAGCTTAAGGAACATCTGGTAAAAATTTTAGCCACGTAGATAAAAATTTATGACGCAAGGAACTTTTTTAACGTTAAAACTAAAATTTTGAAAAAAACATGAGAAAACGTACACTTTGCGTGGGTCTACGCGACGCTGCGTTCCTTCCGTCGGCTTTTAAAAATTCTTAATATATTTTGTGAGAAGGAACAATGGCTGTACCGGCTAGACAAAGGTCTTAACTAGGTATTTTCGTGAAAATCCAATTTCACATTTTTGACCGAAAACGGCAATTTTTTCAGTATAGTCTCCCCTTAAGTGAAGCAGCCATGCTCTGCTATATCGCTTCAAGAGTGCACATAATCGAACTTCTAATACTAAGTGTCATTCAAAACTTATGCGTTACCGCTTCAGACACGCCGTCTGCGGTATTCAAACATCGCACCACAGAAAAGGCGTAAATTGGAACCTGTCCTGCAACGAGCACGAAGAAGCCGTGGATGAGGTGAGGCCTGTCGTAGACTTCGACATAAGAGGCCATGCTCTCCGCCAAGTTCATAGACACTGCAAGAAGACCGATCACCAGGGCGCACATGTTCGACAAAATGAACCCGACTTGCGGGCCAAAGCATTCGCACACCTCCTCGAGACATTCTGTCGTTTTCAGGTGCTCCTTGCGAATCTGGAAGAACAGGGACAAACTGGTTATTCATCTTTCTTGAACAAAGACAATATGAACACAGGTAATGATCGTGAACAATAATTTTGAACGGCCATTCTCAGGCTCGTATCGACTCTTTTATTCCAATTATTGATTCTTTCTCCTTTGCCCACTTAGTTTTTGGCCCGCCCTTCTATTCAAAAAATAGGGGGAGGGCCTATGCATTTGCCTTTGTGTCTGTGTGTTGTTGTTGTTGTTGGCGTCTGTGTACAAGGAAGGAGTTGAGCTAGAGTAACCAGATTTGGAGGGTACTTCAGGAGTACCGTCCAAACAAATAATCCGGTGGTGCAAATCCCGTCCGGGTCGCACAAGGGCTGCTGCAGGTGCATCATGGTTTACATGAGCGGGAGGGGGATTTCCGCCATTATTGGTGCTAGCAGGGCACATAGGGGTATTTTTGGAATCGGGGCGACGAGACAAGATGAATGGACCTGGTCCCGACCCCATCGGCCGCTTTTACAAGTTGGCCAGATCAGGATCTTCAAAAAAGGGGGTCGACCGACTAAAAAAATTTATTGCAGATTTCGATTGGTCTCAGCAAGACCTTTTCAACGAGGGGTCGGAAAGAGGGTCCAGGAGCCCGACTTCGTCTATTAGTCACATCAGGTCCTTGAAAAAAGGGGGTCGACCGACTGAAAATTTTTACTGAAGTTTTCGATAGGTCTTGGCAAGACCTCTTCAACGAGGGGTCAGAAGGGGGGTCCAGGAGCCCGCCTTCATGAGTTATGGGAAAAAGCGCGACGGACTCGTTTTGCGCTCCTGCTGTGCCTCTTTTGCAAGGAGTTGCAGTAGCATGGCAAATACGGGTATTTTCGGAATGAGGGCGAAGAGACAAATGAAATGGGCATATTCTAAGGACAGTTGGAGTAAAAAGTGTAAGGACTATTGCATATTGTGAATAGAAGGGCGGGCCTAAGTCACGATGGTACATCGATAACTGTGCTTTACCCGCTCACGGGGTGTGTGATGCGAGCGGGCCGAAGGCCCGAGGAAAGGCCGCCGGCAGGCCAAGCTGGGCCGGCCCCCTGTCGAACTGAGTTGCTGGCGCAGCGAAGCGGAGCTGGCAACTCGGTTCGACGGAAGGGCGGGCCATAGCTTGTTTAAGCAGCAATAATAAGGAGTATTTCATTTGTAACCATGTATAATATTGTTCACTGTAAAGACTAAATTGTCATCAATTATTGACCAGTTTTCAAGTCAATTGCGTATTGACTCTTTGTCAATAGCAAACTGACTTTGAACCAACTCGTACGTACATGGATATAGAGGAAATGGTCCGCGCCAATGCACGAAATTAAACATGCACGCACGCACGAGTTTGTGCGCGACAATGCACGATTTCGTGCGCAAGTATGCAGAAAATCGTGCATTGTCGCGCACAAATGATCCAGGAAGCGGAAGAAGGGAATAATTCGACTGATCTCCAAATTCAGTTTTTATCTTATAATTGTGCCCCAGGATGGTTTGCATCATTACACCAAATTGTTTGGCCCAATTCCTTACAGTTTAGGAGAAAATCCACACATGTGGATATAACACAACTTGACCACTTTTACGGTCTAAATTTTATCGGGAAAAGAGGTAACTCAACCGAAGTCCACATAACTCCATAGCACAGAATGGCAAAAGGAGATAACTCAACTTGTGTGTTTACTTTATGAATTTAATGTAAAAAGAATCGACTCAAACTAACTCCCCATCACTAGTTGGCAAAAAGAGGTAACTCGAAAAATGTACCACAGAAATACGGACGGACTCTATGCAGACCTCAGCTCCACTTAAATTGTCTCCAAATTCCGCCTTGTTTGGGAGAACTAAGTCAACATGGTTCCGTAGTCCATTCCAACGTAAAGATTTAAATCACAGAAACCGTCTACAGAGTGATGCTACACTTTTGAAAATTTTCACAGTTATTTCTTGGTCTTTCTTGACAAAAATGCAATTGAATCATTCATCTGATTTGAGTAAGTTTACCCAGTAAACAGTTTTTAGTTTCTCTTGAAAAAATGATGAAAATTGAGTTATCCCCTTCTTCCGCTTCATGGATCAAATTTGTACGCTACAAAGTGCATGTTTAATTCCGTGCATTGGCGCGCTGAAAAACCTTCAAAGTATGCTTAATTTATTATGAAACGTTTGAGACGCAATTCGCATCCGAACGAATATAACGTGAAACGAAATCCAAGGAAAACAGATTCGTTACGAAAATGCGTCACCTGCAGCCCACGATGACATTTTCGAGACGATCCTGTTCTCCTTAGAAAGAAACAAGAATACACCACGGAAACAAACCTGCAAGATTTCTTCCGAGATATTCCGTCCTCTTTCTTTAAATTGTTTCAAGTGGGAGAGTTCTTCGTTGAGACGTTTGTAGTTATGTGCCAAAGTATCCAGTAAAAACATGAAAAGCATCAGCTCTGCTGACTCCAAAAGCTGCTGTAGGAAATAAGTTATGGGTTGATTACACGCTAAATTACTATGAAAGTTTTTGGGCATAAGGGACGAAACCGTGCAGTTTGAAACATAGTAATTTAGTACGTTGTAATAAATGAGCAACGCGGCTTCTTCGCCCTTCTGGGCACACTTTGTAAAAGGCTCAGACAGTAATCTTTGAAAATCTTTGAGTTGCCCGAGAGAACGCTCCAACCTGTGGGTCGGTAATTTTATACTGCCTCTTTGTAAAACGAAAACAATTTGCTGAGCATAAATAATTGGTAAATTTAAGATGTCTTGAAAGTAAATGTTGTACGTGGATTCTAGCTAAGAGAGGTGTGTCCATATATCGTATTTCCTGTGCGTGAACTTTCCACGCTACCTTGGATGGTCTTGGTTCACACTTGGGTAAGTATGTAGGGGTAGGTTGGGGAAGAAAAGTACAAAACGCGTACTTTGCACTGTATACAAGTTCCAAATGAGGATTCAACTATTCTGCTCTCGTGAACTTGTAATCCAATGCCTTCCTAATGAAATGGATCACTGTTCGTTGATTATAGTTCCCCACATTACGTACAACATGCCAAAATGTATGTGATTTCGGAACTCCTCGAAAAGGGGAAGAAAAGTACACCACCGGGAAAGAAAAGTACAACGAAAAGAATTCCGAGTTCGAACCAGGAGACCGCCAATCTTGGCTCAATACAGGTTTACCCCTAAAGTGGAGAGCTTTCACTTGCCATTAGTTCAAGTTTCGTCAAAATCGGTCAATTGGTTCTGATTCTACATGGACTCATCACAGAAGGTCCAAGAAGCCTTTTCTTAGAGATAAGTGGGTACAGCATTTTTGTACTTTTCTTCCCCTTTTCACGTAAATGCCTAATAACTTGTTTATTTCGGGTCTAATTTTATAACTTGTGTTGACATTTTTTGCTTGTCTCGTCTAATCAAATCTATTTCCGTGATCAATTCAATTTTCATCCCGCTTTTAGTTTCTTAGAGGGTGTTCCTTTCTTCCCCAATACCTGTACTTTTCTTCCCCAGCCGACTGTACTTTTCTTCCCCATTTCATTTTTACACTTATAAAAAATTGTGTTGAAGCAAGAGCATCGAACGGCACTGTTTTTCAAAGATGATGGTCTAAGCTAGGTGGTACCTCACATTGGACTGTCGGCTGATTCTGCAGGAAGCTGTACTTCAAAGCACAAACATTTAAAAAATAGATTTTCATAGTTATTTTTAATGTGTTTTTCAAACGTGCAGCTTGATTCTAAATATTATATATAGAACTGGGCTAAATTTATTTTTTGTGAGCGGGATGACCAATCTTTCTAAAACCACTAACGTGATGGTTCAGTGTAGTTTCAGTTCGGAGATATAACGGGTGTACTTTTCTTACCCGACCTTCGAGTGTACTTTTCTTACCCAACCTACCCCTAGTGTGTCCGTACTTGTTGCATGTGAAATGATGTAAACACTGTCATTCCTCTTGTGATAATTTACTTCAAATTTTGCGATAAAACCGAGTTTGCGATTCCTACGAATAATCGCACCCTAGAGTACAATAATTTAGTTGTTGCATCGTTTTGCAATAACCACCCCTTAATTTTTGCGGTGAAAGAGCCTTTCGTGGTAACTTTCATCCCATTTTTCTCTGTAACATTTTATTGCATAACTTATCGCAAAGAAAGTGATAATTTATTGCAAACTTTGACCTAAATTTTTATTGCAGATTTTTAGTATTCATCATTGCAAAAAATTGTGATAAGTTTTCTGCGTTTGAAAATACAGACAGTGGTCAATGCAGTCTGAATGGCAGTGATCGGGTACTAGAACTTGTACGAAAAGTTGCGCCATTGGCGTGAACTTAGATAATTTTCATTGCATTTTTGTCATTAAAATTTACATTACATTCGTTCATTACACTGTAATGAAAATTTTAATAACATATATGTAATGAAAACTTTAATTACATTGTAATGATTAAAGCTTCACTACCATGTAATAAAAATGTAATTAAATTATTTTAACAGTGAAAAAAAAGTAGGGTAAACTATACAGTTACCGTCAGTTTGAGAGCAGGGCTTTCTTTTCAAGGGCCTCTAGGGTAGGTTATGACACTTAGACCCGTGCGACTTGTTGCAGACCCCTCAGAAGGATCTAGACAACAAAGTGGCTGACAAAGATTTCACCAAAAACTTTTTGTGACGCTCTTATTTAACCTGAGAAAAAGGTTACCAAAAACACAGTTATCGGCACCCTTTATGACAATTATCGGCACCCCTTGTTAAAAAGGCAAAACATGACCGAAAGTGACGAAAATTTCAAACAGTCGTCACAGACACTCTATATCACCCCTCGACATGTCACAGAATAGAAGGTAAGAAGATAAGAATGGGCGGCCGAAGCGGCTTCATTCTGCACTTGACAAGAAACATGGCTCTGTTGGCTGACATGCTCTGTCAAACGCGATGCTGTCGCGGTCCTGCATGCTCAAAAGGTGTCTCTAGCGACCTGCATTGGCCGCATCACTAACGGACGCGTACTTGCAGAGATGACGATACTGTTCCCCTGCCCCCTGCCGATAACTGTACAGTTTACCCTACAGAAGTTCTGTAGTTGGCAGATACGGACGATCCGGGCAAGTTGTTGACCAGACTTGCTCAATACTTCGTGTACTTTTTTATCTCTGAATGCCCCGCCCTTCATCAGTACTTACTTCACAAGCCAGCATCATTGAGAGCACCATATACCAAGCACTCAATATTCCGGAAGCGTAAACGCAGGGCATCACTACGAAATAGGCAAGGGTTCTGGCCAGGTCCGGGCAAAACACCAGAAGCGCGCCTCTTTGAGGGGTCCTAAACGCCTCTGTGAGAATCATCGGTTGTATAAGAACTCGCTGCAGCTGCGGGTACTGACGCCGAACGATAAACAAGCGACTCAGAATCAACCCCAAGGCCATGATGCCGTGGCCGATGGTTATCACCACTTCAGCCATTGAAAGATGCCTTCTGGCATGCTGAATAAATGCAGTTCCTTCGCCTATCAAGAAGAGCAAGGCACCGAGACTTGGAATGACTGTGACTCCAATGCTGTACCTGAAAGGAGCACAGTACCGTGAGGGCATTTAACACTTTCGCGCCGCAGCCTAACCTAACATTCAGCCGGCCCGTGTGCTGAGCAAATCTGTATGCAGCGTGACACCACGATGGAACGAGCGTGACAAAATGTCTCGTTAGTGTGGGTGCGAATCCGCCATGAATGATCGTATCCACACTTAAACGAGCGTGACACAATGCTCAAAGTAGCTTGACATTTTGTCACGCTCTTTGGAATGAGAATTAACAATCTTCGCAACTACTGGACCCTAGAGAGCCATCCATCCCCGAAGATCTCATTCACTCACCAGTACAGCCAACGAGGTTGTGTGATTTTCCTTCCAATTTGTACATACGGAGCCAGGCCCAACAGTCGAGCCAACCTCATGAGGCCTTTGTCCATGGCTGACTCGCGGAAGTACATGGCTCCCGTCGAGGGAAAGCCGATCGGGCCTGCTTCAACTTTCATCATCGACATCACGCGTCGGGAACTGAAGGGCCGCTGACATGGCGCAAAGCTAAAAATGTTGCTGAGCTCGCATCTGCACTCATCGCCATGAGGTCCATGATTTCTTGCCTCTGACGATAGACGTTTCATCCGCGATTCTGAACTATTCAGTACCAAGGGCAAAAAAGCCTAAGGTGTTTGCTGTGTGCCTACTTTTTATTTAATGGTTACACTGTTAGAAAAAGTTGTGGGATAACGACAAAAAGTTCAACAGCATGATTGTTATAAAATGACAAAATTGTCAAAATTCAAAACAAAACAACCATCATATTAAAAAAAAACTTGTTTTAAGAATACAAAATTGTATGGTTACAAAAGAATATGTTCAAAATCAAAACAATAAAAGTATCGTTATCAAACAACAATTTCATCTCAAAGCGACTAAAGTCGTTCAAAGATTGTTTGACTCGTTGGATTACGATGAAATAATCACATTTGCCATATTGTCAAATATTCCGGCAAAAAGTCTGGGAAAGGCACATCTTAATTAGCATGAAAACTTGACGCTATTTTGATAACCTTTCATGATGAACTGCTGTGTATTTGCTCATAAGTCTGCCGCAAAGGTTAACTTGGGAGACATAAAACAGATTTTTAATGTGGTTACCTCACTTTGGCTATTTGCTATCACCACGAGCCACTCCTAATGACATTTATTGACAAGTGTTGGAGACCATCAGCTTTGTGCATCTTCTTCCATCCCTGCTGTGCATTTAATTGATTTATAAGCTGAGTTTTGAGACATTTTGCCAGAATATTGGACAATGTGGCAAATGAGATTATTTTATCGTAATCCTATGAGTCAAACAATCTTTGAACGACATTGTCATCATGTAACGACAATGTCGTTGATTGATGATTTGGATCCAATGACTGTGAAGAGGATATGAGTTCAGCCAATGTCTATGAAAATTTTATCGTTGAACAGCACTTTCATCAGACTACGACATTTTATCTTACGACATCTTTCTCACTTGACAGCAACTTCTGCTATGAAACTTTACGACAAATTTGTCGTAAACCAACAGCAGTTTTTCTAACAGTGTATACTCCGGAGCGGACTTCACCTGGACCGGCCGTACTTCGTTGTCAGTCCCTCGCACTCTGCTGGGGTCGCTGGCGTCACAATACCTCTGCACATGCCATCGCACTAAAACGTGTTATGTTATCGATAGAACGGCCAGTAGTGCTGTGGGTCTGTGCGTGTGGCGTATGCCCCAGTGACCGCTAGAGAGAAGACAACCAATAACAAAAGTCCTGTTTCAAGTTCAAGTGAAACTTTATTTCTGTATTGGAATTAAGTGACCTAGAGTTCTACGAATGATTAAAAAAACTTCTGATTTTCTCTCCCGTTTGGATGAGTGCAGAGTACCAGCAAGGCTACACCTTTACTCCATTTGGAGGACCGTGTTGCAGTAAAGCTCTAATCAAAGACTTGCCTGCTTTCAATTGCATGCGTGTTGCTCTTTTTCTTCATTCAAGTTCGAAGTCGACCCTTCTTTACTGTGTGGATTTTGGGTAGATTTTCACTGGGGAAAACTGACTCAACAACACGCGACAAGTTTTTGGCGAGCGATAGCGAGCCCATGCCGTGTTTGGGGGTACCAAAAAGTGACTGGTCGTGCGTCTGTCTGTCTGTCTGTCTGTCTGTCTGTCTGTCTGTCCGTAACTCACTCACGTTTCTCAGCAACTACCGCACAAATAGTTTCAAAATTTCGCACCGGAAGGCTCCTAAATCTCCCCCAGGGGGAGTTTATCTTATATTCACGATTACTATTGTTTGAAATATTCAAAACATCTTTTTGAATTAGGTTCTTAGCGTGGTTAGGTTGGCAGTGGTTGGCGGCTCGTAGCAATTTTTCATACTTGCGGCCGCGACTCTCAAATACGGGACCTGGCAAAACATTGGCAAATAAAACAAACTAAAGAGCAGAAGGGCTTAGAAGTGAGTACGGTCATAGTTTTTCGATATTTTAGAATGATTGAAACCCCTCCGGAGTGTCAACTCAGTGAAACACGGAAAATGAAAGTGACAATTATTACGCGTTACGTCCGTCCGTCCACCCCCTCCCCTCCCCCGCTACAGGGGAAATGTTTTAGTCAGTGCACTGTGTTTGATAATTGCAAGAATGATTTGGTCTTTTTAACCTTTGTGAGTGTATTTCCATTTATATTTTTTAGTTGTTTGCTTTGCTCAATAACAGTTAGAAAATATATTAATACATTCTATGAGTACAAACCAGATGCTAATCTTGCCAAAATAAATAGTCTTTGCTGACTCTTGGCACTGATTCTGGGAAAAGGCTTCATTGCAATTCTGTGAGTTTACTATAGTACTAACCTTAAAGAAAACCATATGATGAGTGAGTGTAGCGCATTCAAGGTTTGACATTGACATCAGATTCAATGAGACGATTCACTGACTTGGTCATATGATTTCATGAGACGATTCTTTTAACTTAATCATACATTGTCTGCGACAACTGGTAATTTGTGTTGGTCATGGTTTGAGTTGGCTTTTTTTTTTCATTTACTCAGAATGTTAGGTAAATACTTTTGCTAAACTGTTTCAAAGATTAAATAACACACCATGACTATCATTATGAATAAGATAAACTTGCATTTAGCAATAAGTGGCCTCGACATTGGATTCTATGAAACGATTCATTGGATCTGACAGAAGGTCTTCTCCGCAAAGTAGTTTAAATCAGCCTGCCTGTAAATATATCTCTTTTTAATTAATGCAGATAAATCAATATAGTTTAATCCACTAGTTCAAACTAAAAGGGAGAAAGGCTTTATAGGTATTACTAATAACATTGCGTATTCATAAGTTCAGTAACAAGGAGATATCGAATGGTAATTGAAGTATTTGTGAATCGTATTAAGCAATTCAATGCTGGCTGTTAAATGTTACTCGACTGAGTAACAGGGTCAGGGTTCATGGCATGACACCATGAACAGGAAACGCTCTTAAAAAACCTAACAACTGAAGACCCATACTTTCAACGAGAATTACATACATGATTTAGGACCAAAATTTCCTCGGTGTTTCATTGCTTCCTGCAGTATTTGGTGTGCTGATCACAAAAATGACTTCCAATTTCATCCCAGACCTTCACTTTTCCAAATATTTACCAATTTTGGACCAAATTTTTACATCGAGTTTTACATAGTTTCCTGCAGTTTTTGGTGTGCTGATCACGAAAATGACTTCCAATTTCATCTCAGCCTTTACTTTTCCAAATATTGACCAATTTTGGACCAAAATTTTTACATCGAGTTTTACATAGTTTCCTGCAGTTTTTGGTGTGCTGATCACGAAAATGACTTCCAATTTCATCTCAGACCTTTACTTTTCCAAATATTTACCAATTTCGGACCAAAATTTTCGCATCGAGTTTTACATAGTTTCCTGCAGTTTTTGGTGTGCTGATCACGAAAATGACTTCCAATTTCATCCCAGACCTTTACTTTCCCCAAAATTTACCAATTTGTGACCAAACTTTTAAAATTGAGTTTCACATTGACCCTGTATTGGCCTTACTTTGCATATATTCTTCACCATCTTCTACAAGAATACGGACGCATCGCTCGCCTACTACGCGCCCAAACAAAACGGCGCGTACCCCTAGTCATAAATTGACTGTAAACGAAGTTAAATCTTATGCGTTACAGTTTTCGACTCGCCCCAACCCAACCTCAGGGGATCATCATGATCGTGGGACGCGCTGCCAGAGGGTCGTGCGTGCGGCAAATGTGGCACGAATAGAGTGCGAACCATCCTCATGCCACTCAGCACGACACCATTGATTGACTGGGCAACGCGGCCTCAGGGCCGTTCATACGTGCGTTTACTGGGGCTAACAATACCATTCCGAGAAAGAAACAGTTATACTGTGAAAGTGGGGAATACACTGATATTTCTGATAAGTTTCATACAATTTGCCGCGATAAAAAGGCTATATGTGATTCCTTCAAATTATCGCATCGGTGGCAGTAATAAAAAATCATCCCTTTTAAAATGCTATAAGTCTCTAAGGTTCTAGCCAGTCTGGGCCCAGATTATCACAGTTTTGGTGTGATTAAATGAAAACTACGCCAATAAAGTGATAAATGCGCTAGTGTAATGCAATATTTATTGCACTTACAATTCAATAACTTTTTCATAGCGCTACTTATGCAATAAAAATTTTATAGCTTTTTAAATGACTTTATTATTGCACATAGAAAACCAGCCCACTTTTCGGCACTTGACTAAAATGGTGCGAGCGTGCAGTGCATGATCTCGATAACTGTTAGGAGGTGCAGAAGTAACAAAGGAAAGTGCCGTTTAGTTTAACTAGTATAATCAACAGTGAAATCTGTAAGTCTAAGCACGATATTTCGAGAGATTGCTAGCATGCATTTGAATAACAGTGCAGTCAAAAATATAATTTGGCTAAAACTGGTACCTTTCCCATAGGCTTTAATGCACTTGAAGTACGAAATTTAGTCTATATGGGGTACACTGCATGGAGAGTACAGGGAACAAATGTAACATTCCTTCTGGTTACCACGCAAACGAACGCCAAAGAATTTCTAAGAGGACGTTACTCCTTTTCTGTTCATACTCATTTCACCCCCACCCACCGTGTACGGCAGAAAAAAAGAATGCGTTTTCATACAGATAAGGAATGGTTGGATCCTCTGTGCCCTAGGAACGTCCAGAAGAGTTTTATTTCTCGCAACTGGAGGATTAGGACAAAAAAGTTGACCACCGACCCCAAACCCTGAAACAAAAACAAAAAGGTGAAGAACATCAATAGAGTGTAATACCAATTGAAATTGATTTTAAAGAGGGAAGACTCCTTCCTCATCATGGTTCATCAAGTTCATCACCAATGTACGCTGCCTTCGGCAGGCTTCTTTGCTCGCCATCGTCGTGGAGACTTGGCTCGAGGTCGCAGAAACTTTCGACCGCTATTTTCAGGGTTGCGAGCCACGAAAGGTTGACAACCGCTGACCTCTAGGTCCTGGAAATCCATAATGCCATGGTCGTGTAAGTGCACGGCGTAGAACAATTTTTGTCATTTCATCTTCTGTTTAGGGTTGATGCCCCAAAAATAATTTTAACAGCCCAATTGATGGACATGTTTTATTAAAACGGTCAAACATCCACTTTTGATGGCATAAAAGGAAAAGAAAGGTGAAAACTTGGAGACTTTATTTCGCAATAAAATGTCTTTAAAACAATTTTAATTCAATTTGGACAATCCTTGCCAATAATCCTTTTTTTCTAAATTAATTTTTCACATTTGATGCGCCCTGAGGTCTGGGTCCAACAACCATTATTTTCGTTATGAATTCTTGCAACCGTGTACCTTTATCAGCGGGTGTGTACATCACGTTATCTCTTGCCTATCGACTAGTTCATGGTCGGGATGCAGACGATTTGCGAGTGGCGTAGGGAAACGATAGTCTTCAGCATTTCAGTTGCACGCTTGTGAGAATTCGGGATGGCCGGGGTGTTCCAGTGCTCAGTGTGCACGCAGCGCTACGATCACGGCGGCCGCCTGCCCAAGGTCCTTACCTGCGGGCACACCTTTTGCCTGCGATGTGTCAACAAGTGCAAGCCTCAGTGTCCGGTGTGCCGGCGCAAGGTAACAGTTGCAAGGGGAAAACAGCTTGAATCGTTGTGTACACTGAAATCGAAAGTGTGGCGAATTTACCACATTTGGCTGTGGTGAGACCTAAAATGTGGTAACCTCATTCTACCCCACGTACCATTGTGGCAAAAATTATACCCCTTTAAAAAAAATGGTTACAAGCCTATAATTTTGCCGTTACCGTATGTATTGCGTGGTCAAGACCACCCTTTAGTGAGGCAGAGCGAGGACTGACCACATTTTCGCTGTGGCTTATTCACCATTGATTTATGTGGTTTGATGCTGACATGAGAGAAGATGCTGACCACTGATTTTAAGGGGTGTCGACCCCAATTCCACGCGTGGTAAATTCGGGTAACCACAGTTTTGGGTCTACCCCACATTATCTGTAGTCTGTATCACCCTTTGAAATAACTTATAATGAACTCCTTCCCATTGCGTGCATTCAATTACACACTGGGATGCGCCTTCAGCAGTACCTATTGTGATCAAATGAAGAATGCTGAAAGGTCCAAACGCCCTCACTCGTTCTTCGCGTACAATCAATCAAGGTTCACAAAGTCAGCATTTGTCAGCAAAGACATTGTCCGACTTAGAAGCAAATATTTTCCTCTCTCTGCAGTGGGGCCCCGAGACTACGGGAAATCCTTTTGACCTCGAAACCAACTACCAGATCTTCGAATGGCTTGAAGAAGAAGAAGGTAAACTCTTTTTTTGATTTTGAACAATTTTGTACAAAAATGGCGAAAATGTGCAGTTTTTCGTACGAAAATTGTACGAAAAGTTCGTGTGCACAAAAAACTGCGATGTCTCGTACAAAATTGTACTTAACATTTAGTGTGTAGACTTGTTCGTCACAATGATAAGGGACATTGGCAAAACTGTGCTTTTTAACCGTACTATTTCCGTGGATTGTGAGACGATATTTACTACGCTAAAATCCCATGAAGTTGTTGTTAACTTTCATTCGCTTAGCGAATAATTTGCAAAGGTGAAAGGAACAAAATAATTTTCGATTCTAAAGATACCCCTCTCCAAACTGCTACCATTGAGATAAATCTTCATGTTTCTATTGTGGATTCTTAAGAACACGGAAGAGTGCAACCACGTTCACTCCACACTAAATGTTTTTGTACAAAATTTGTACGAGAAATCACAGTTTTTTGTGCACACGAACTTTTCGTACAAATTTGTGCAAAATTTTGTACAAATTTGTACAAAAATGGCGAAAATGTGCAGTTTTTCGTACAAAAATTGTATGAAAATTTCGTGTGCACAAAAAACTGTGATGTCTCGTACAAAATTGTACATAACATTTAGTGTGTCTATTGCTGTGTTGAAAGACCGAATGAGAGACGTGGAGGAAGAGTTGCAGGAGACACTTCCGAGGCATCGGAGTGGTCGGACAGCGACGGCGACCAGTACTCTGATGATGACGACGACGTTGGAAAGACGAAAGAGTGCACCATCTTCGTGCAGTGGGTGCCGAGCCATTTCACGTACCGAGAGGTGAAGGTGCGTCTCAAGCTCACGGGCACACTGGTTTTCTAAGTGTGGTAATGAACTCATTTAAAAAGCAATAACATGTTTATTGCATTCTAAGTGCAATAAATATTGTATTGCGTTTACGAATTTTTCAACTTATAAGCGTAGTTATCATTTTATCACACCAAAACTGGGCCCAGACCGGCCAAAACATAGGAGACATGTTGCATTTTTAATGCGATAATTTTTTCTTGCTGCTACAGATGTGATAATTTGCAGGAATCACATTTGCCTTTTTATCGCTGCAAATTGTATGAAACTTATCACTAGAAATATCAGTGCAAACCGAACCAACAGGATCCAACTTCCCCGTTAAATTTGACGTAAAGAAGAATTGGTAGAACTGGTACTTCTAATATGACAAATTTCATACAATTAGCAGCAATAAAAATGCTTGACAGACCTTCAAATTATCACACCTGAGGCAGCTATGAAAAATTATTGCACTAAAAATGGACTAAGTTTCTTTTCTTACCTTCTGGCCCAGATCAACGCATGTTGGTGTGATAACACGCTTTCGAAAACTTTTTTTGAGTCGCCACTTGATGCCAATTTCGAGGCTAATTTTCCTTACAACAATGTCATCAAAACAAATTGATGACATTGTTGTCATGAGGAACTTTGATAAAAATGACATCAATTTGTGATGGGATTGTCAGCATTTGAAAGTGATGAAAATATCATCCACGTTTTTGTCATTTTTGTCACAACAAATTTTCACAGTGTACTTTCCCCCTCGGCAGGACGCCTTCTCGCACTTTGGGCGCGTGCACTGGGTCCGCGTCGCAGGATGCCATGAGGACGGACGGCGGCGGAGCTGGGCCCACGTCACATTCGCCTCGGCAGCGGCCACCTCCAGGGCGCTCGACGCTAAGGTTGCTTGGGCCCCACCGGGCCTATCTTTTGCCACATTATGGTGATGTGATCACTGTGTTGTTTCCTACTGAGTGTTCCGTCAGTTTTTATAAATACACCCATTCAGAGAAAAATAAGATTTTCGCATTGAGGTGAAAACCAGTATCAAAAAGAATCAAATCTTTTCGTCGATACAGGTTGACTGGTTAAGGTACCTTTTCGAAAGATTCTAAAAACTGTCTAAATATTAAGAATAATTGCGGAAAAGTCAGTTATTTTTTTTTGCCATGATTATCCGTACACAAAATCCAACATTTTCGGAAACCTTTTCTCAATCTTCTCTGACGGACTAGTACCAGTATTCTCCGCGTGCCTGTTGCAATGCAGACCAACGATGTGCATGGAGAAGACATTCTTCTCACTGTAACCCCTACGTAGAAGATTGACTGAAAGCCTTGGAGAAATGTTGGATCTAGGTATGGAAGTAACTTTTTGAGACCGTGAGTGCCTCAATTTCATATCGGAATTTGATCTTTTTGTAAAAAGAAGCCTTCCGAAGATTTCCGACGGATCTTCGGAACGCTTTTAACGGTACTTTCCTGTTTCTTTTAACAGTGTATGCGGTCTGCAATGCGTTATTTCGGCTCTAAGTCAGCCTTATTTTTTTGGCCCGCCCTTCTATTCAAAAAATAGGGGGACGGTACTTCAGGAGTACCGTCCAAACAAATAATCCGGTGGTGCAAATCCCGTCCGGGTCGCACAAGGGCTGCTGCAGGTTCATCATGGTTTACATGAGCGGGAGGGGGATTTCCGCCATTATTGGTGCTAGCAGGGCACATAGGGGTATTTTTGGAATCGGGGCGACGAGACAAGATGAATGGACCTGGTCCCGATCCCATCGGCTGCTTTTACAAGTTGGCCAGATCAGGATCTTCAAAAAAGGGGGTCGACCGACTAAAAAAATTTATTGCAGATTTCGATTGGTCTCAGCAAGACCTTTTCAACGAGGGGTCGGAAAGGGGGTCCAGGAGCCCGACTTCGTCTATTAGTCATATCAGGATCTTGAGCAAAAGGGGTCAACCGACTGAAAATTTTTACTTAAGTTTTGGATAGGTCTTGGCAAGACCTCTTCAACGAGGGGTCGGAAGGGGGGTCCAGGAGCCCGCCTTCATGAGTTATGCGAAAAAGTGCGACGGACTCGTTTTGCGCTCCTGCTGTGCCTCTATTGCAAGGAGTTGCAGTAGCATGGCAAATATGGGTATTTTCGGAATGAGGGCGAAGAGACAAATGAAATGGGCATATTCTAAGGACAGTTGGAGTAAAAAGTGTAAGGACTATTGCATATTGTGAATAGAAGGGCGGGCCTAAGTCACGATGGTACATCGATAACTTTGCTTTACCCGCTCACGGTGTGTGTGATGCGAGCGGGCCGAAGGCCCGGGCCTTCGACTGGCCAAGTTGGGTCTGATGGGAGGGCCGAAGGCCCGAGAAAAGGCCGCCGGCAGGCCAAGCTGGGCCGGCCCCCTGTCGAATCGAGTTGCCGGCGCAGCGAAGCGGAGCTGGCAACTCGGTTCGACGGAAGGGCGGGCCCTAGCTTGTTTGCACTAAGAAAACTCGACAAACTATTTTAGGCATTACAAAGGAAAGCAGCTTTGTTATAACAAAGTATTTTGAGTATACAAAAGCATACAAAGAAAATAGCTCGTAATTTACAAACTATTTGTTCGTATACACAAAGTAAATAAGTTTGTACTATCGCAAGGTTTAAAGCGTTTGCCCCACTCTGGTCCTCAGTACGTGCAGGCGGCGTGCGGGGCTAGGCTGCCGTACAGGGCCTCAGGCTTCAGTGGCCGAGGCGCCCTGGGCGCGTCACGCCGGGCGCCGCCATGGGGCAGACGGCGCGCCCACAGCGCGGACTCGCTGGACGACTTCGAGGACGTCCGTCGGCACCAGGAGAAGTCCAGGGGGGTGCGCCTGTCCAAGAGCACCGACAGCCTGGACGTGGCCTCGCACCGAGCTGCCGGACACTCACGGCACCGAAGCAGACCCGCCAAGAGGCTCACGCCGTCGCCACCGCCGTTTAGCAAGCAATTGTACGGCGAGAAATAGGGGGGGGGGAGGGACACTAAGCAAGGCAAAGCCGAACCATCATATCAAGCTGGTGACAGAAACAATCTGAAATTTAAGACAAATTATAAGCAGACATTTGTATCAGATTCCATCCAACGTTTACCCATCCCATGCTATACACTTAAGCGAGGAGCATAAGAAGGTATCAGCTAGCTTCATCTCATGATCGAATGTTTCAACCAAAAATTTCGCAGGGATGGATGGACTACCGTACTATGCACATCTCTTCGCCGCTGCCCAGAAAACAGCTTACGAAGCAGTGCCTCCTTATACATAGAACACGAAGGCATTGTAAAATCTACGAAATGCTTGACATCATGATGAAGCAAACGAAGTATTTCTTCACATCACAAAGCAGTTCTACAATGCCTTTGTTTTCTGCGTATACAAAAACTTCGTACGTACACTTTTTGGGGTGTGGCTGATACACACGATTTCTTTAATGCTCGCAGGAAATCCCTGCCCACGACGTCAAAACTAACCCAGGAGCCCGAGAAGCAACGCCTGAAGACGTCCAAGACGATACAGACGGCGACGAAACGGAGTTCACAGCAAGATGTACCGAGTACTTCCTCGATGCCACAAGCAGGCTTGCCAGCAACCGACACTGCAGACACGCAGTCAGCTGGTAGGGAGATCCCAGGCACAGTCGTAGCTGTTCCAGAGATAAACGCTGCGTCTGGCCCCTGGTCCACACACTAAATGTTTTTGTACAAATTTTGTACGAGACATCACAGGTTTTGGTGCATACGAACTTTTCGTACTAATTTATAAATTTTGTACAATTTTGTACAAAAATTGCGAAAAATGTGCAGTTTTTTGTACGAAAATTGTACGAAAATTTCGCGTGCACAAAAAACTATGATGTTTCGTACAAAATTGGAGAATGTTTTCCCTTCATTGCTTCTGGAAATCTCTGGAAGTTAGGCATAGAAAGCGACCCGATTTTATGTCTCTGGTCACGCTTATCACACGGGCTAGAAGTCATGAGCGCAAAACTGCTCCCTTCAATTCATTTGAAAATGGCGGACCAGCCTTTGTCTGTGACACACTCTAAAAACCTCACCATCTACACCTTAAATGTTTTTGTACAAATTTTGTACGAGACATCTCGGTTTTAAGTGCACACGAACTTTTCGTACAAATTTGTACGAAATTTGGCACAAAAATGGTGAAATTTGTGCAGTTTTTTCGTACAAACTTTGTACGAAAAGTTCGTGTGCACAAAACCCCGTGATGTCTCGTACAAAATTGTACATAACATGCAGGGTGTAAGTAAAGTAGCTTCATATAATACTTCGTGTCACAAACTAAATATAGTTTGCACCTCATACAATGATCAAATTACTTCGTAAGGTTTTAAGCGTGTATCTCAGACCCTTATCCCAGGCACGTCGAATGTTCCACCAGCGACCGCCTCCACGTCCGAGGACGCAGCCCCAAACGTGGCCAGCAACGCGACTTGCGACGCCCAAGTCGCGACGGACAGCCTTCCCCAGGCCGGGGAGCCTGCCGCAACCGCAGCCCGCCAAGCTGCCACCCCCGCAGTGGTCATCCACAGGTGCTGCTGCACCATCGCGTGACGGCCGTGGCGTGGCGGGTCCAGAGGCGGCCTGTTTGTTGGGCATGCGGTTGAGCGAGGGGTTGAGGGTAGGTGGCACCCTTTTTTTTGCCTTTCAGGCGTCTTTTGAGATGCCACGCGGGATGGGGCAGTGGAGGAAGTCCTCCTCCCGTGGCCCGTCCCGTGTATTTTTTGTAAAAAAAAATAAAAAAAAAATCCGAAGGGAGGGGCATATACACTGTAAATCCAAAGGCAATACTTTTAGTGCCTTTTTTGGCGATACAATTGAGTATCGCCAATAAACGGCCTTACGGAAAAGTATTGCCTTCAAAACGGCGATACAATAAAGTATCGCCAAAATTTGGCAATACTTTTGGATATTGCCAAAACCACGGCATTAAACCAAGGTCCTCTCCCCCTGATTTGCTCGACGTTTATTGCCAAATCGTGGCAATACTCCAAAGTATCCCAAATTTTGGCGATACTTTTGTGTATCGCCGTTTTGAAGGCAATACTTTTCCGTAAGGCCGTTTATTGGCAATACTTTTCCGTAAGGCCGTTTATTGGCAATACTCACTTTATCGCCAAAAAATGTACTTTAGTATCGCCGTTGCATTTGCAGTGTAGTAGCATGATGCAAGCTGTGCGTCCGTTCGTTCGTTCGTCCGTCCGTCCGTCCGAGGACATCCCGTGGTCCGATCTTCCTTCACCAAATTTGGTATGCAGCCTCCTTGGGTGACCCTAAGAACCGCCCGCTGGTAGCAAATCCGATCCGAGCCCCGGGGGTGCTGCTGCAGGTGCATCATGGTCTACATGGGGTCGAGGAGGATTTCGGAAACGGATACAGCCAAAAGGGCACGTAAGGGTAATTTTGGTATCGGGGTGCCGAGACAAAGTCAACGATGCTAGTTTCGAGCGAATCGAAGAAGTTTGGACCCGGGTTCAAATTCCAGTAGGATGTATTGCAAACTTTTTTTTTTCAAGTTTTTGCATTGTTTCTCATGTTTTTAGGGCGTTGATGACGTAAATAACATGTATTTTGACCCCAGACTTAGCATCAAATCTCGTCAGGGGTTAAACATAGGCGAAATACGCACATTTCTAGATGTACGGAACGGGCCAAAGTTGCCGATGTGTATCGCTACTTTCCCTGTTATTTTTGTGCAGGTCGACGCCATCGTTTTGTCCCGGGCGTGTAATTCTCCACCCACAACTACTGCGACTAAAATACCCCCGAGGCGTGCATGCTTCTGGCCGATGTCCTCGTATCCAACGTCGTGGAGTTGGCCGAAATGAAGGACAGACGGAAGATGCTGCGCGCGCCGCCCTGCCTGCCTGGCAGCTCTCTCCGCTACGACACTACTGCCAAGAACAATGAACGCATGGACGTGTTCGTCAAGGCAGACAGGGACAACTTCATGCCCAGTCACGTGGCGCGCCGCCCCGCCCCGGGCCCCTCCCCGCGCTCCGCGCCGGGCCCGCAACGCGCCCCGGACCGCTCGCACTCACTGTCAGGCAGCGAACGCGGGCTTGGATCTTATCATGGAAACTCTCATTCCAGGAACGTGACATCTCGTTGAAACGAACGTGACAAAATGTCACGTCACAAAATGTCACGTCACAAAATGTTACGTGACAAAATGTCACGTTGGTTTGAGCATTATGTAACATTCGTTTGGGTGTGAATTGGCCAAAAACCAGCTTGTTCACATTCAAACGAATGTGACACAATGCTCAAACGAACACGACAAAATGCTCAAACGAACATGACATTTTGTCACGTTCGTTTCAACGTGATGTCACATTCCTGGAATGAGAATGGATTTACTGACCTTGGATCATGACTACAATGACTTTGACCTCGGTGATCATTTGTGGAGCTATGACAACGAGGATCATTTTGATGGAGACTACGCCGATCTGTTTGGAGCAAGATGACTCCAACGACGTGGATTATCTGCTTTTGGATCAAGATGACTCCAATCTCGTGATCAGCGCCGATCTGTTTTATGGTTAACTTCTCGGATTTTTACCAAAGCGGACTGCTCTGCCGATTGCGGCATTCCTTTTGAGGAAGTGCATTTGTCGCGAGGCTCATACTCCATGGTCTGATTCACCGTCATTTTCCGTTATCGCGACCCACAGTTGGTTTTCCCCGGTGAAACAAAAACAGCGAAGGCGCCGCCTTTAAGGGGGGACCCTGGTGAAAAAATCGCCAAAATTGCCAAAAATAGTATTTTTAAAGTTCATAGATAAAAATGTGCATAGAAGGTTTCAGATTCAACAGGTTGAACACCTTTAAGCTAAGTGGGTAGTTTCTTTATCATTTGGCAGGAAATAACATTGAAATCAGTTGTCTTTGGCTTCTACGCTCAACTTCACAGCTTTGCTCAGTCGACAAAAAATTTTGTCGTAGAAAGACTTCCTGCGTTCCTGGTTGACACCTACATGAGTCGTCTTGCATGGACTCTATTCATTGATGACTTGTCGACAAATTTTAGTGACGGAATCTTGATATCAGCCCTACTTTTTTTTACAAACACCTAAAAGTTTGAAAAAAGGGAAAAAAAGTCACTTTTTTTCAATGTTAAAATTTGAAAACTCATATCTCAGGACAGAAGTTGAATTTGAAAATTCCGTCACTAAAATCTCTTCAATACATCTTTAGGATAACCCAAAAAAATTTTCAAGACTTTCCGTACCAATGAAAGACGCAGGAAGATTTTTCCCCAACGCTCTAAAAAACACTGAAAAGCCACTTTTCTCAGAGACCGTTCAACATTTTTGATTGAATTTTGTTTTGGGAACTCACCATAATGAACCTAATAATTAAGCAAAGTTTCAACTTTCTGGGTTTATTTTGAAGCCTACTTGAAAGTTTCACCAGGGTCCCCCCTTAAATAAAAAAGTAGGGTCTTCATTTTTTTGTTTTTAACTTTTTTAAATAGCTGTTTGCATTAAGTTAGTATTTTTAATTCTCAGATCCTACTGTTACTCATGTCTTTGAATCAATAAAAGGTGTGTTCTATTCAAAGCATTCCGCTTTTCGATCCTGCAACAAGCAGCTATCTACGCGTACTGTCTGGATAACCGAATATCTACGTGCGCGCGCTGTCCCGACAAACCGGCTATCTGCACGGGCTGCCTGGATTACCGACTATCTGCTTACTCCACCTCACGCGAGGCTTTTATTTAGCTAAACAATGGAATCGTCCTCGCAAAGTATTTTCTAAAATTTGTCAAAAGTTTGTCAAAGCAAGATTACTCTGCAAACTCCACAGTGTGCTCAGCACTCTCTGTTCAGCGTGTACTCACTAATACACTCCAACGAGAGTGTACTGAGATGAGTACACTCCAACGAGAGTGTGCACACTTTTTGAGGATTTTGCAAAAATGTTCAAAACAGGTTTTTCGTAAAATTTTGTACTTTTGATTGTTCGATGTTCATAATCCTTGTTCATGCGAAAGCCGCTTCAATTACCTACATTTTGGCGCAAACGGGGTTGAGATATCTTCATTTTTGCGGACTGAGGGACGCCCGCCAGTTCGACTTTTGTCGAAAATTTGATTGGTTGCTGCTCCGTTTCCTGACGTGCGATCGACGCCATTCTGGGCTTAAAATGCTTCTTTTTGTACACTGCAAGAAAAAGTGTGAATAGTACAACAAATGTACAACAAAAACTGTACAATAAAAGTACAACAGGGATTGTAGAAAGTACAACGAGAATTGTACAAACCACAACGAGGCCGAGACTGCCCAGCACTCGTCATGCCGGTTCCATTGTACTTTGTACAACAATTGTTGTACTTTGAAAGTACAACAAAAACCTGATAAAAAATTTGCCAGAAATTTGTGTACTTTTGTTGTGGTTATTTCCTGCAGTGTAAGGCCTTGACACATGAAAAGTTTGTACAACGCACAACAACGCGTATGGAAGCAATCACACAACTCAGTTTTGGGCCATTTTCAGTGTATTGCCCGCTTAACAATGGCGATGAATGTTACAGGCGCTTAAGCAGCATTTGATGACCCTCGCCGTTTGTCACCTGTCGTCATTGTATCGCCGATGCACATACAGATTGGTCAACCTGCGGAATTCCGAAAGTCGTTTCCGTAGCTGTCTCTCGCTCTGGAAAGAGCCATCCCGTACAGTCGCAGAGAAAAAGTGACAAAAACGACTCTGGTAATTGGTCTGCAATGCGAATGCGTCGATCCGGCGCAAGACAACGATTGAGTGGGAACTGGCCTGAAACCAGGCTACGGCGCTGCAAACTGCACACATGCATAGAGAATCTCGGGCTCCAACGTTCAATCAGTGCCTTGCCGTGCAGCCTTTCAGGTTCATCGTGCTGCTGCAGACATGCCGCTGCAGGTGCTGCTGCTGGCCGTGCTGGGCCTCATCGTCGTGCTCCTGGTGCGCTCCCTGCTCGGCTACCTGCACTTCAGGAGGCTCGAGCTGGCCATCCCTGGGCGGCCCTCGCTGCCGCTCCTCGGCAACGCCCTGGAGGCCGCCCGCACGACCCCGGACACCATCATGAAGACCATCCTCTGGCTGGTAGACGGCCGCCGCGAGATGCGCCGCGCCTCCATCTTCAACCACTTGATTGTGTCGCTGCAGGACCCCGTGGAGATAGAGGAGCTGGTACGCCGCAAGGACTTCAACGACAAGTCCGCCTTCATTTACGACCTCATCCAACACGATTTTGGCGCGAAAGGCCTTATCCAGCTCAATGGTGCCGAGTGGAAGGCACACCGCAAGTGGCTCGCACCCGGCTTCAACCAGAACGTCCTCAACAGCTTCGTGAACGTCTTCAGCGAAGAGGCCAAGGGCTTCGTGGACCGCGTGGAAGTTGGAATGGTCGTCGACGTGCTGGAAAACCTGAGGAAAACTGCAATGAGAAATTTCATCCGCACGTCCGTGGCTGCCGACGGGTTGCACTTTGACGATGAACTTTTAGATAGCGTGGAGTTCCTGGAATTGTTGTGCTGCTCTGTCAACGCGCGCTCCTTTAACCCCCTGCTGTGGTCCTATTATATATTCGCGTTGACTCCTCTCGGCAAGAAGATGCACAAGATGAAGAGCACATTCGAGTCACTGTGCAGGAGGATCGTTGCAGCAAAGCGAATGGAACTGAAAAGTAGAGACCATTGCGACTTCAAGCAGGCACGCGAGACCCTCATGGACATCCTGGTGAGGGGCCCCGAAGATGGCGCTGGGACGCAAGAGGCGGAGCAGGACATCATGGACGAGTTCAAGACCTTCTTGGCCGCCAACGTGGAGACGACAGTTTCCGCGCTGTCTTGGATGTTGAAGGTGCTGTCTCTGAAGCCTGAAGTTCAGGAGCGAGTGCACGCTGAACTAGTCTCTGTGTTCGGAGACAGTGGCCGACTTGTCGCAGTGGAAGACCTGCCTAAGTAAGTACACCAGCAAAAGTTCAAAACTACAATCAATATTATTACGCTTTAAACCTTAAACTATTTTGGGCATCTGTAAGCACTGAAACACTGATTTTTAAGTATAATAATGAACTAATTTAAAAAGCAATAACATTTTTTTTGCATTAGTAGCGCCATGAAAAAGTTATTGCATTATGAGTGCAATAATTCGACGCGTCCTAGTAAGACGCGTCTGGATCTGTCAGAGCAGATCCAAGACAATCCTGACTGCCAGAACTGGTCCAAGACAATCCTAACTTTCAGTGCAGATTTAGAACTAGGCCTATCATAACTGCAGCAAATCAGAGAATGTCGATATACCTGAAATACAATGTCCACGTATTTGTATAGGGATGAAACTTTGTAACAAGCCCTTCGGCTTTAAAGAAGTATGTTGGCGTCACGGACTTTGAGAAAACACCGCTTTTCAGTGATGTGTAGATAGGATAGTTCTGGATTCACACGGAAAGCTACACGGGAAAAAATGGATTAGCTGTCACAGCTAATATGTTTGCTGTTATTTCTTTAGCTGAGAAATTTAGTTGGTGCAACCAAAAAAATAGCTTTGACAGCAAATATTTTGCTCCAACAGCCAATATGAAAGTTAGTTCTCACGACTAATAATTTTGGCTACGTGGAACGAGAAGTTTGCTACACATCTCAATAGTTAGTTGTAAGGACTGACATGTAATCACAGATACGAAAAGAAAAGAAAACCAATCGAAATTGGAATCGAACCTGGGACCTGACGATTGCGAGACAGGCCGCTAACCACTACACCACAATGGCGCTCTGCATCCCGGACAACAGAGCGACCGTTAAGGGGAGGTTCTGGTGAAAATGCTATTTTCTCCAAAATAGATCCCACTGTGAAAATTTGTTAAAAATTTGATGTCTTATCAAGTATTTATTAAAAATTTTCATTGGGGAGGCACATTCTATGCCCTGAACCCAGTCGCAGAGCCTTTTCCTCCCATTTAGGCTATTACTTTAAAAGTCTTCTTGCGCATACTATTTTGTCGTAAAAGGTTGGCTTAGACATTTTTCACTTCTTCGATTCATTTTTGAAAAATGCCGGCATGCACATCTCAAAATGTCAATTGCATTTTTATTCGCAAGCGTTCTAACCAAGCATTTCACCATAATTGATCAAAAATGTACAAAATAGACAAATTTTAGGGACTTTTCAGCTTTAAAAGCTAATAACTAATAATATAATGGAAGTTTTGAGCTCTGCATGCCGGAATCTTTTGAAAATGAGTCAAAGAAGTGAAAAATGTCAAGGTCAACCTTTTACGACAAAATAGTATGCGCAAGGAGATTTTTTAAGATACAGCCAAAATAGGCTCAAAAAGACTCTTCGACTGGGTTTACAGCGTGGCATGTGCCTTCAAAAGTCAAATTTTAGTCTCCTCAATGAAAAGTTTTATGTTCCGAACAAATTATGACTGTTGGATCCATTTGGAAAATGGCAAGATTTTCACCAGAACCTCCCCTTAAGATGTGTCTCGCCGACAAACTCGGGAAATCTGTCGTCGTTGGCTTCATAGGCGATCTTTGGCGAATGGCACACGCCATCACTGTGACAGCGCGATGGTTAGCGGCCTTGTCTCGCAATCATCAGGTCCCAGGTTCAATTCGAATTTCGGTTGTTTTTAGCAGATGATACCTTCACCACACTTGAAACATACTTAAAACTACTGTACTTATGAAGGTGTCAGCGTGCTTTTACTCTCGAGTCCAGAAACCAAGCCCGTATCCTAACAATATAATAGGGGCTGGCCGCCGGGGCGGGCTGGTGCGTGTGGCCATGAGGCGCAGCCTGCGCGGAATTTGACAATGCCTCCCCCGTACAGCGCCAGCGGCACCGGGCGTAAACAATGGCACCTCCTCCTCGGCGACAATCCCTCCCCGCCTGCCACGTCACAAAGGGCGACTCGGGCAGGCCTCGGCTCTCCTCAGCTTGTGCCGACTTCGGCGCTAGCTCGGCCTCGTTCGGACGTTCGTTTGATTTTTCAAATATTGTATAGAAATGAATAACCTGTTAACTGGTAGTATCTTTAAATTGTTTAAACAAGAGCTCTATGTTATCCATTATGTACCGTAATGTAAATATTTTTAATATTTCTACTGACCAGGGCTGGGACAGATACCTTATATTTTTACCTAGGTACAGATACAGATACTGGATCAAAAAAGTACCTAGATACAGTTACAGGTACTTGATCGAGCTCAGTACCTAGGTACAGTTACAGGTACTTTGGCAAAATACCTAGGTACTTTTCAGGTACTTTCAGTTATTTTGATATTTCAACACATCCGCCCAGTAACGCAACGCAACCAAAACAAACCTCGCGCGACTTTTTCGTCCCTTTAAACTTTCTTGCGTCAATGACCCTTTTCATGCCAACGTGTGTGCTGTTTACAACCCCGATCCGTCACGCCGCATCGCCGGCGGCTCCAGGGACCATCCTTGACCTCGCTCCTATAATGAGATGGTTCCGGTAACGCACTTTAGGGACAAACCCTAAGAGCCCCGCTGAGATGTGTCCATTGTTTCATAGTGCAAGTCCTCTGCGTTCACCTTGGCAGTGCATGCGGTGACCAGACCTGCCACATTGAGCCCGGAGGAGGCACATAAAAAGGGGAGGGGGCCGAATATCTGTTTCTTCCCCGCAAACGGGCAGTCCTCTAAGTGTCTTTCTTTATCCCCGCACTGTTTTGAGCGCATCTCATTACCCGTCTTTCCCTACATTCGCGCCCAAAAGTACCTGTAAAAGTACCTGCAGTTCTAGGTAAAGTTACTGCCCAAAATGTACCTAGGTACAGGTACAGTTACAATTGTGACTTGAGTACCTAGGTACAGTTATAGGTACCAAAAAAGTACCTAGGTACAGTACCTAGGTACTTTTTACCTAGGTATTACCCAGCCCTGCTACTGACACATCCTACAGAATATAATTTTAAATCATATATGTTCTAACTCTTATTTACAGTTTAAAATACAAAACAGACATGAAAGCACACTGCTACAACTACACTGTTAGAAATTCTGTCGTAAATTAGCGACAAAAAAGTCGCTAATTTTCATAACGACGGAAATCGTTCTTAAACTACTTCGTCGTTACTGAACGACTAAAAAATCATTTCTCTACGACAATGTCGTAATCACTATTACATATTTTGACACCTGAAATCCCCGAAAAGTTGGTGAAAAGTTACAATTTGGTCACTTATTTACGATTTGTGTCGTTCATTTACGATTCAGAACACGAATTTACGACAAGAGTCGTAAATGTACGTCTGAAGTCATAACTGCACGACTTATTCGAAAGATAATTTACGATTGGTCGTAGACTTACGATTAAGTCGTAAATTTACGACTTAATTTGTTTTAAAACGAAACGTGTCGCTATCAAAATTAGCGACAAATATGTCGTACATTTACGATTCAAGTCGTATATTTACGACTTGAGTCGTAACAAAATATGTTGTTTAAAAACGACATAATTGCTCTACAAAATGTCGTAAATTTACGATTATTTTTAACAGTGTAGCACACACGACAATACCAAACGAGTATCATCTGCTTTCATTAACGTTCGTTGAATGAGATTTTTTTTTTCGTGTCTGTGATTACATGTCAGTCTTTACAAGTAACTATTGAGATGTGTAGCAAACTTCTCGTTCCACGTCGCTAGAATTATTAGTCGTGCGAACTAACTTTCATATTGGCTGTTGGATCAAAATATTTGCTGTCAAAGCTATTTTTTTGGTTGCACCAACTAAATTTCTCAGCTAAAGAAATATCAGCTAGCATATTTAGCTGTGACAGCTAATCCATTTTTTTCTGTGTAGGATTGTCTTGCATCTGCTCTGACAGTAAGGATTGTCTCGGATCTACCCTGGTAGTTAGGATTATTCTATTAGGACGCGTCGAATTATTGTATGGCATTAGCGCATTTATCGCATAATTAGCGTAGTTATCATTTTATCACACCAAAAGTGTGATAATCTGGGCCCAGACCAGTCAAAACCTGAGGAACTTATTGCATTTTTAATGCGATAATTTTTTTATCGCTGCCACAGATGCGATAATTTGAAGGAATCACACTAGCCTTTTTATCGCAGCAAATTGTATGAAACTTATCACATTAGAAATATCAGTGAAAACTAAATGTGGTCTAGACCGCACTAGATGCAGTCAAATGAGTGCCATTTTGGCCACATGAGTTGGAGCGGTCTTGACCACGTTCTGTTTGGTCATTGCATGGGGAAAGGGAAGGCGAAATCACTGTGAATTTCGGCGTACAAATCAACAGGATTTTAGTCAGGGATCCTTAACTTAACTCAACATTTAGCTAACACTGCTGTCATAACGTAACATAAGACAATGTTCGCTATAGGTTAAGGGTACGGACTTATGAAAGTACTTGCAAAAGTATATCCACACAAATTCGAGACATAAAAAAATAACTTACCCTTTTAAAAAGATGTTAGAAGTTAAGGGTAATAACTTTAACTCTTATGATAACGTTATGATGCCCTTATGAGGTAAGTTAAGGACCCCTGATTTAAGTAGAATTTTGATGACTTTTGGGAAAAAATCTACTCAGTTTTGAGAAGAACTTTTTGGTGAATTTTATCAAATTTTATTATGTTTCAAACATATGGTGAATTTTGGTGTAGAAATTAGGATGATGTTATTTTCCCTTGGGAAAGACCACACCAAACGTGGTCTAGACCACACAACTGACGCGGCCAAAATGGCACTCATCGTTTGGTTTTTCAGTGAGGTACAAACTTAACTATTTATTTTATTATACGGTGAAAGAAAAAAATCGTAAATTACGAAGTATTCTCTTCGTTATCTTATTTATCCTCGAAATACTTTACTGATAACAAGAAGCTACATTTGTTTGCAAAAAAGTTCGCAGGGATTTGAGAATAATCAGCTGACACGAAAAACCTCGGCAGTCGCACTGCCAATCCAAGTGTGAGACAGTCTGACACTTGTGGGTGTGGGATATTTTGTATCGTTTACAAGTGTGAGCCACGTTTGTCTCACGCTTGCAAGTGTGGGACAACGAAGTCTCACACTTGCAAGTGTGAGACACAGCTTGTCCCACACTTTGCTGCCTATGCTAGCTCTGTGGTTCAATGCCAAGGGTCCCACGCCTGCAAGTGTAGGATAAACCAAAACCGTGTCCCACACTGAGACATTGATGTCTCACACTTGCAAGCGTGAGACAAAACGTCCGTCCCACACCTACAAGTGTGAGACTGTCTCACACTTGGATTGGCAGTGCGGTGTTCAAAATACAGCAACGTCTTTTCTGTTGCCTCTTTTTTCAGGCTCAAGTACCTCGATCGAGTCATCAAAGAGATCATGCGTATGTTTCCACCCGTCCCTTTCACCGGCCGTCAGTGCTACGAGGAGACCAAGCTGTGCGGACACACCATCCCGGCCGGCTCCACCATCGGCATCAACATCTTTGGCGCGCACCGCGACCCCAAGCACTGGGACAAGCCCGACGAGTTCGACCCGGACCGCTTCCTGCCCGAGAACTGCAAGGACCGCCACCCCTGCGCCTACATCCCCTTCAGCACGGGCCCCCGGCACTGCATCGGCGGCAAGTACGCCATGATGAACATGACCACCATCCTCGCCACCGCGCTGAGGGCCTTCAAGGTGCTGCCCGTGGACGACCACAAGGACCTGCAGAGCCTCGCCGACAACATGACCTTCGGCGTTTCGTCCCACCTCGTGGGCGGTGTGCGAGTCAAGTTCGAGGCCCGGGAGCCGCGGTTGCGTGATGTGGCGCAGGCACTAGTGTAAGTCAGATCAGAGGGGTACCGTCATGAAACATACGACCTGAAAAGCTACAATCAGGAACACAATCTTGTTATATACACACCAAATATTTAGGTAGAATTTTGTACGTGCAACTTGCACGATTTTGTGCATAGTACGTGGCATTTGCATAATATCATGCGTAAAGATGCATGAATTTATGCAAATTCACGCACAGTTATGCACGACGGTACACCCGACTTCACACTAAATGTTTCTGAACAATTTTGTGCGTAGTGCTGCCCGTTTTTGGCCCGTCCATTTTCTAAAATTTTTTTTTGTAAAAAAAAAAAAAACGAGGGACGGGCATATAGTATGAGGCATGCTATGCGTCCGTCCGTTCGTTCGACCGCCCGAGGACTTTTTGTGGTCCGATCTTGACCAAATTAGGTGTGCAGCCTCCTTGGGTGACCCTGAGAACCACCCGGTGACTGGAAATCCGATCCAAGCACCGGAGTCGCTGCTGCTGGTGTACCATGGTCTACATTGGGGTCGAGGAGGATTTCGGCAACGGATACAGTAGAAGGGCATGTAAGGGTATTTTTGGAATCAGAGTGACGAGACAAAGTCAACCGAGCTAGTTTCGATCGAATAGGAGAAGTTTCGACCCGGGTTCAAATCCCAGTGGGGTATATTCCTACCATCTCTTTATTCACGTTTTTGCATTGTTTCCCCTGTTTCTAAGGGCGCTGATGACGAAAATAACATCTGTTTAGACCTCGGACTCAGGTTTTAATGCCGTTAGGGTTAAACATGGGTGAAATTCACACATTTCTAAATGTACGGGACGGGCCAAAGTTGCCGATGTGTATCGCTACTTTTCCTGTCATCTATGTTCATGCCTGTGTGAGGGCAGAATAACTGATCACTATTCCACTATTTGGGATTATCAGTTCACACCACCAGTGCAGGTTTAGTAAATTACAGAAAGAAAAGCAAATGTTTGAATTTCCAAACTTGATTGTCAAAGAAAACTATAGCCTCAACGTGTAAATAAGAAAAATAAAGTTCTAAGTTCTAGTTGCCAAAACGCCTTTTTTTCCAACTTGAAAACCCACATTTTTTTATCAGCCCACATTGATAAGCAACGAAAACGTCAAAAACACGTCAAAGATGATGAACATCAAAATGAACACAGAGGGCCATTCTGCGCCGAGTGAACAATAGTTTCCAACGACATTAGGCGGCATTTTCAGCTACAGTCAGCTCTGGTTAACTGTCCCGAGTTGGCCCCTGGTTAGATGTCCCAGAGACATCCCCACCACCACCGGCCGGCGAGGGATTACCGGCTATCCCCGGTCCCGGGTCGGCCGGGCCTACCTGCCCGGCCTCTGGTTAGCTGCCCTCGGCGCCTCCCGGTTGTCGGGACAGCTAACCAGAGCTGACTGTAGTGTGAAGTATTCTGTAAAAGGCGTAAGGCCCAAACAGTGCACATATATCTCAGATTTACTTTTTCGTTTTTCTTTTAACTACGTCCAATGACTAAATTTACTGAAAAGAAAGGAGCAGAATCGCCTTTGGAAAGGTAAGTAGTTTCACTGTTGTCATTCAACAACCGCTCGGTTCTCAACCTTTTTCGGCTCACGACCCCAAATTTGCAGCCAAAAATTTACTCGACCCCCAGGAAGAATTTCGCAATCCCCGCCCCCCCTAAGGGGGGAGGGGGGAGGTCTCCCAGCATGCATCTCGGTTGCGTCGACCTATCTTCTACAGGGTGAGTTTTCTCAATGTGTCAATAATTTGTAGGTAGTTTGGGCACCCCAAGGGGATCATTTTCTACCAATGAACTAGTGAGCGCAAACGTCTAGGTACGGAGATAATTGGTGTTTTGTAATTGGCCTTCGCGCCTGCGAGGTAGGCACCCGCTGCCACTGATGGGCGCAGGACCTCACGTGGGGGTGTCGCGGGTCTAGGAGGGGTGCTTCGAGTCTCGAAGGGGTGCGGCGGACCTTGCAAATGTCTTTTGGGAGGGGTTGCCGCGGGTCTCAAGGGGCTGCCATGGTGGCCCCCGTTACAGTGGATATCACGCCTGTCTTTGCGAGGGTGGCGGGATTCCACGGATACTTCCGCGAGCTAAGTGGCACTCCCGCGAGTACTGCTAGTCCCGCGACACCCCCTCGACAGGTCCTGCCACCCTCAGTGGCACCGGGTGCCTACCTTGTAGGCGCAAAATCCAAATTCAAAACACCAATTATCTCCGTATCTAGACGTTTGCGCCCACTAGTTCATTGGTGAAAAATGGTCCCCTAGAGATGCCTAAACTGCCTGCAAATTATTGACACAGTGAGAAAACTCACCCTGTATATGACCGGCGACCCCAGCCACCTCACCGCGACCCAACAAAATTTTTTCGCGACCCCAAGGGGATAGATGGGATAGATTATTCAGCAGTATGACGACCGTTCGGAAGTGCGGAGCCTAGCGGACGATTATGAGAGCACATCCTTAAATTTTTATTTGTCAGCTCATGCTAAGGCGTCTTGTGAACCACCAACAACATTGACTTAGTAGTAAGCTAGTAGTCTGTCATGCGGCTCCGTGCCATTGTGGGCGTGTCTGCTGTTTGATCCCTGGAACTGCATGACGATGACGATGTAAGTGGTGATGATGCCGAGCGCCTGCCAACAATGCAACCCATTATGTGCGCGAATTCAAAGCAGAAGCAGCACTGCACTCTAAATGTCTTATGGTGGAAGGCAACACCAACATATTATGGTTAATATTGTCCGGGGAAATAAATCCAAACAAATTTGTATACCAAAATTTTGAAATTTACTAATATTTAAGTTCATTGAAATTCTTCTCAAAATTCTGTAGTTTTGGCCCGAAATTCATCAAAATTCACCTGAAACTCATTTGATTTGTACGCCGAAATTCAGTGATTTCCCCTTCATATTTTCTTTACAATCATAGAAGACAAAAGAACTTTTGATTTAGTGATATACAATGATGTTGCAGAGGTTAATTACAAAGTAAGCTGCAATCTCTTAAGATGGGGATTCACCGAGGGGGTAAACACTCCAAGAGATCGTGTACAGAGTACTCGGTATTACGCTGTATTACGGGGATATTACATGAGTGTTACGGCATTAAAATGCCAAAATTTAGCACATTTGGCCCCAACATGGTATTACAATTACGTGTATTACGCGTAATACACAGTTTTTGTGTACAGTGTATTACACGAGTGTTTACCCCCTCGGGATTCACCATGATGTGGAGAATCGTTACATTTAGAGTGTACTAGGAAGGACTTGCTGTCTGTGTACCTTGAAGGCGAGGCTATGGCCCACCTTGACCACCCCAAGGAGTCGGACACACACGCGATCCTGGGTGAGCTGGTCTGCGAACAGGCTCAGCTGGAGGAGAGCGTGATGCTTGTTAGAAATTGAAACTGTTGTGTCGACAATAACCTTTGCATGATCTCGGATTGTGTGTGGATCAGCACCTCGCGACGTATTGCAGGCTTGTCACTGTCACGGTTGATGAGCTGATGGACAATCGGAAGGGCAGAGTTTCCCTGAAAAGTAGCACGATTCTAAATCAATGATTGGTTTGTCATTGCGCAACTTGACTGATGTAACTAAACAACTCCAGATAGCACCTGTTGGTCGATCTGGTACGCTGCCTGCATCAGTAGCATCGGGGGGCTGACAGTCGAGAGGAAATTGATGACCCCAACCAAAACAGTCCTGCGGTCAAGACAAAATGTAAATTCCTATTCAATACATTTTAGACAAAATTTTGTTTTTAAGTTTCATTCACTGGTAAAACTGAAGAGTAGTATAACCCCCTGTTTACAAGGGCAATCAATGTACGTTTGAAATGAATCGTTACAGGCTACCAAGACTTTCCCCGCAAGCTAAATGAGGGAAATTCTAGTTTGCGCCTCATTTCAGGCGAAACGTCTTTAAGCGTGCTTGACTGAAGCATGGAGTTACGCTTTAGTTTTACCAGCGCTCTGATGCCAGAATTCGTTGAGACTGGAAATTAGGCCTACTGCTAGTACCCGCCACTTTTATGGCATGCACGCTTCTCTTACCACGGGAGGCCGGAATGCAGGACTCTGGTGATGTTGCTGAAGCTGAAGACGCAGGACCAAAGGTGCAGCATGAGGGACGCCACCAGCGACGGCCCAAAGCACGCACTCAAGTCTGCCACCAGGATGCAGATCTGCTTGTGGGCGTCACGCAGGCGCCGGATCTGCAGCACCAAACAAATTAACCGTCACCCCGGGATGCGTCTCATGTACCCCACGGCGTGTGGTTGTCTGAAGTAGCGAATTTCGTCGGGTACCCCCTCTCCCCGCATGCGGGTTCCACCAGTGGCGTGCAACAAAAGGGAGAGGGAGGGGAGGGGGGCCTTCTTTCGGGTACTAGACAGCCGCCTGAAAGGTAGGCAAATTGCGTCCCATTCCCCCTGTAAGTAGGCAAAAAGCATGGGCCTGACTGCCCCTTTTCAAAATCTCTGCGCACGCCACTGCACAGTGGGCCAGAAACCGGCGGAGGCGGCCAAAATTCCAGACGTATTTTGAGCTCCAGAGTCGCTAAACGGGACTCAAACCGAGCGTGTGACCCCACCAATCGATTCCTCGTTTCCGAGAGCAATCCATTGGTGGGGTCACGCGTTCGATTCGAGTCTCATTTGGCAACTCTGGAGCTCAAAACGCGTCTAGAATTTTGACCGCCTGTGCCGGTTACTGGCCCACTGTGCACTGGGTTCCACACCTTCTGGGCGACGTCCCCGCCCTCGGCGCCCTCCTCCCCGGCCGCCAGCAGCTCGTCCACGCCCGCCCGCAGGCCGGCGAACACGGAGGCCAGGTTGCGCGCCGCCAGGAAGAAGACGGCCGTCTGCACCACGTCCATGATGTCGTCCACCACCGAGCCGCACTGCAGCACCTTGAGCACGGCCACGTGCGGCCAATTGCCGTCCACCTGCAGACTCTGGCGGCAGACGGACGCACTGAGGATGCTGTGACTTCCACACTGCAAACCTACACACTTGATGTCATGGGACCTTCTTTGACCCATATGAAGGATAAGGATGCAATTTTAAGAACATCAGTCGGCGATGCAGTTTTACACTGCAAGAAAAAGTGTAGATAGTACAACAAAAGTACAACAGAAACTGTACAATAAAAGTACAACAGGGATTGTAGAAAGTACAACGAGAATTGTACAAACCACAACGAGCCCTGGACTCCAAAGCACTCCTCATGCCGGTTCCATTGTACTTCGTACAACAATTGTTGTACTTGAAAAGTACACTAAATTCCTGATAAAAAATTTGCCAGAAATTTGTGTACTTTTGTTGTGGTTATTTCCTGCAGTGTATGTCCACCAGGTGTCAAATAGTCCGATGCGTGTAGAAATTTGCTATTTCATTAGGCAATTTGTATCACCTGGTGGACACAAAATTGCATCACCGACGGTGTGCTTAAAATTGTCCTTGATGTGTCCTGAAAAGCCATGACATTGAGTGTGTAACCGTCCACTCACAAGTATACACTTAAAAACCGCTCAAACAAAGTACAAATTCACAAACGCATACAAGCCCAAGTACCCAGGAAACTGCACACGGCAAGAAAAAAGGGTCAGAAATTTGTGGTAGTTTTTTTTATCAGGAATTAATTGTACTTTCCAAAGTACTACAATTGTTGTACAAAGTACAATAGAACCCGCATGACGAGTGCTGGGCAGTCCAGGCCTCGTAGTGGTTTGTACAAGTCTCGTTGTACTTTCTACAATTCCCGATGTACATTTATTGTAGTTTTTGTTTTACTTTTGATGTACTAGTCACACTTTTTCTTGCAGGGTCTTCTAAGTGTAGATACGTTGCATGCGGTTAGGGAGCCAAGCATGCAATTGAGTGCACTTGCAAGCACACACAAGTGTGTATGTACTAGGGAGGCAAATACGCATCGACTGTCCTTACAGTGCCTAGTCCCAACACCCGAGCGCCTTGCCGAGTGATCTGCGTGACGATGACGAAGACCAGCGGCGACACGGCCAACACGTTCCGGTGGCACGGACAGCAGTCGCGCCACACGCACTGGGCCTGCCCACGACGCGAGCACCGTGTTCACTTGCTCATTCCAGGAGCATGACACCACGTTGAAACGGGCGTGACAAAAATGCCTCACTCCCTTGAGCACGGTGTCACGCTCGTTTGATGTGAATCGGCTAATTTATGTCTGATTCACTTTACCGCTTTTCGGACAAGGGGATCGACGTTGGTCCATTTCGGTCCATTTCGGTTAATTTTATCAGGAGTCAGTTTTCAGTAATTTTAAGCTTTGTTTCGACAGATATGGCAGGTAAGCTTATGGAAGCTTACTCAATTATCTAGAAGGGTTTTCAAACAGAAATCATAAAATCTTGATTACACACACACCCAAAAACAAAGTATTTACAAAGTGCTTTGAACATGTATGAGCCCCCTTAAGTTCCTTTGTCCGAAAACCAGCCAAACGAGTGTGATAGTGCTCAAAGAAAGCGTGACATTTTGTCACGATCATTCACACGAAACTTTTGTGAACTTTTGAATTGCATATTTGTGCACTTTTTACGCATAATTGTTAGGCAATAACTGACACTTGCAAATTCTCATCGATTCCGTCACACCCCTCAGAAGAGTGTTGACATTTTTGTTTGTTTCAGAAACATTCTGAATATCCTCTTGACGAATTTGTTGATCTTCTGAACGAAAATTTTATTCATACGCAGAAACGTCAATGAATATCGATAAAATGTCGATTGGAGGATGAGAGTGAAATGTATTTCCGTCACCCAATCATCCAGGCATATGAGAGGAACCTGAAAGAACGTCAGTAACTGTCTTACCCTGCATTATCTTTCACACGTCGGGGACAAAACATTGTCAAAATTAATATCTATGGAATTTATGATAAATGTTGCCGAGGGCACCTTTGCACCCGCAGATGTTTGGTTATTTACGAAGATTCTCGATGACATTCAAAGAATCTTCAGGAACTTTCGAACATCAATTTTAAGTTGCTGAACATCACTGTTAAAAATGAATGAAATTTAATGACATTTGTGACATTATTTTTCATTAAACGTCATTATTTTTAATTACATTTCCACATTCATTACATTGTAATGAAAATTTCATTACCTCGGTCGTAAAGTTTAATGACATTAGCCATGTAATGAAAGTTTCATTACATTCTGCAGCTTGTCATAAAATTTTCATTACATGTCATTAAATTTTTCAAAAATATTCAAGCATGACTGAAATTTTTTGGATTTGTTCAGGATCTAGGTTAAGCTTACTCAATCTAATTTAGCCTTGTATTGGCCGCCAACATCAATTTTTCTCGGACAATCGTCCATTACGGCGTCATATGCCAAACCTGTCATTCACAAGTCTGCCGCTAGGTGTCGCATGGTACACGGGGATCACTCTCAACTCTGAATTCTGTCATAAAAAATTAATACGTGAGGATATATTCTGAAAATTATCCGTGTTTCATGTAAAGTGCTGGATTGTTAAACTAATGGCGAAGAGTTTGGGGGAAAAGAGAGATATTTGAAGTGGCCAAATAGGTTTTTCTGATGTTGCTCGAAGGCGTCTACGGGCTGCTGTTTGGTAGGGTCAGCACCCGATCTCCCTTATTCAGGCAACTTAACTGCCTCAGACCTGAGTCGTCCTGGGTCACTCAATTTTTACCTCTTCTCTGCTGTCAGATTGTGAGTCCACTCTAACCTATGTCAAATGAAAACGAAAAGTTGCGTAATTTGGTCATTTTCATTACATGTTTGTCATTAAAATTTTCATTACATTCGTTCATTACACTGTAATGAAAATTTTAATAACATATATGTAATGAAAACTTTAACTACATTGTAATGATTATAGCTTCACTACCATGTAATGAAAATGTAATTAAATTTTTTTAACAGTGATTCTTCGTTAATTCTCAAAGACTCTTCATTTCATACGGACAACCTTCGTGAATTTGCAAAGGAAAACAGTAAATTCTCGTGTGCTTGTGTGTTACGGGTAATGTCCGTCGTCCAGATAATGTTAACATGCACCGGCTAGAGCCAAAGAGGAATTAGAATCAACAAGAACCGGTTAGGTGCGCACCGCAATCTCAGCCAGCAGGCGGAGAAAATGGTGAAGACTTAGGACCGCAAATTTCCCCCTGCCCGGGTGGGGGACATTTTTCACGTAGACAGGGGCAAAGGGGACCCCCGCAATGTCTTAGCGGTTGTCATTGCCGTTACTAACGATGGCTTCTACCAGGTCGGGAATGAGGATGGGACACTGAGAAACCTACTGTCCCGGAACATGTTTGGGGTAGAGCTAAATAAGGTCCTTAAAGTCTGAGACGTATCCGATAAAATAGTAATTCTCCGTGAACCAGCACCAAAGGGCTCTATTTAAGGGGGCCAGGGATACAAGAAGTGCAACTGCACCACCAAGTGTGTCAATAAGAGGTGTGGCTGCCAGGGTGAGAACGAGGTTGGTAAGAGTGCGTTCCAGGGCGGGAAACCTTGCACCAACAAATGATTGTTTAATAAATTATAATGATTGAGCCTTACCACCCATACCCTCATCACTGTCACTCCAGCCGGTTAAAGTTCCCAAAAGGCCTCCGTGGACATGAACAGCACACCCTGGATTATGGTAACTTTGTACGGTTCATGTTACATTACCCGTGGACAGATACGGCAGGACTTGGAGAGATTAAGAGGACAGGACAGCAATCACCATGAACGCATTCCCGGACAAAGAACGATTTAAAACCAGATTGAGAGAGCATGTAGGGTCAGGGCGGGGAAGAACTGGACGTTTTGCAATCTTTCTCGACTTTGACTCTAATTGACTATCTTTAGCCAATGTATCCGTTGGGTCTGTTGATAGACTACTACCAAAGTCTTTCCCCCACCACGACTCCCTGCTACTGCCTCATCGGCCGCATCGCCAGCGTTTCTGAGCAACCCTGCATCCAAACAAATTTAGCGCGCGTGAAACATAACCTCTAAGAATACTTCAACAGCAGAAATTAAACCATTAAACATGAATACATGTTTTCTTTCAAAACTGTTCTTTGGTAAGGACTTCCTCTGGGCAAAACTGGTACAATGGAGCCCAAAATGCGAGAGAAGATCAGATTTAGAGGTTACGTTTCACGCGCGCTAAATTTGTTTGGATGCAGGGTTGCTTAGCAACGCTGGTGCTGCAGCCGATGAGGTAGTAGCAGGGAGTTGTGGTGGGGGAAAGACTTTGGTAGTCTATCGAGCCTCAAAGAAAGACATTTCAACTCTCAGCGAGTGCGTTTGCGGCTTCATTCAGTAATAAATGAGAAAAAACAGTGTGCGATTCTTCCCCGTCGAAACGGGGAAAAATCGAACACCTAAGGGGAAAAATCGGACATAGGCTTTAATTTAACAAAAACCTATGAAAGAAGGTCAGAAATTTCTTGGGAACGATATTTGGAGGTAACACTTGCGATACCCACTGAAGCAGGCGCACGAGTATTCCTAGGTAGACAGAAATCATCGTGGCATTGTTGGGGGGTCCGTGGCGGCACGTTTTTGAGGTTAAATGACCAAAATGTATGAAATCGTCAACAGCCGTGTTTGTTTTCCCACTAAATGTCGGGAAATGCTAAAATACACTTGTTACGACCACTTTGGTGGGATGTTAGGGCAATTCGTCGATGATTATAGAAAAAAAAGAGGTGTTCGATTTTTCCCCGCACCAGTGTACGGTTTTTCCCCGTTTCGTATTTAACCCTTCATATGTAATCCAGCTGGAAATCTGCTAAAAACATTTGAACGTATCTTGGGCTCCACACTTCCAACTTTCGTTTACAATAAGACTATTCGTCACAGTAGGCTCGGAAAGTCGTTAAAAAGAGATATTGCGGGCACCAACTTTGAAAGTTTTTAAGGTGTTTTAAACGAGACCTCGTTTAAAGGTGACTTTGAATACTTTCCGGTTCAAGTAGGCTAAATTCCTCTTAAACGCAATCTAGCAGATCATCAATAAGCAATACTGAATACTTTGCGCGTCCCAAAACAGGTAAATCTGTGGCGAAAGTGCGGTGTGCGTTTCTTCCCCAACTTGCAGGTGTCCGGTTTTTCCCCGCCCTGACCCTAGACCGCAAACGGACGGACAATTCAAATTTCATGGACATGGAACAGTACAGAAAATAAAAGAGACTGAAGAGGCGCGAGCGGCGAAGAAAAAGACAACGCTGCAATTCCGGCGCCTTCGACGCTTCGCCGTAGCAGATGGACCGATCCACATTAAGTGTGTCCGGGCTGGACGGCAGAGCGCTCAAAATGGCTTGGTTAGGCCGACCGACTAGGCCGACACCTCGGCCTATCAGGCCGACGGAGTTTTCGAACGGTAGGGAGGGGGAAGGTGCAGATGACGTAGTCTGCACTGCGTCGCCACGGCCTAGCGGAGGAGCCGGCCTTTTCCCCGGCCGGCCTGACAGACCGAGCGTCGGCCTGCTGCAGGCCGAGGCCGACCGAGTCGGCCGGCCTCTTAGGCCGAGGCCGAACCATCCGCGCGGCCTACGGCGGCAGGCTTAGGCCGAGGCGTCGGCCTAGTCGGTCGGCCTAACCAAGCCATTTTGAGCGCTCTGCTGGACGGGCCATGTTGCTCTCACCTCACTGAAAAACCAAACGTGGTCCAGACCGCACCACTGGTGTGGTCAGATGGATGCCATTTTGACCACATCAGTTGGTGTGGTCTAGACCACGTTTGACGACGTATGGTGCGGTCTAGACCACGTTTGGCCACGTTTGGTGTGGTCTAGACCACACCAAACGCACCAAACGTGGTCTAGACCACACCAGCTGGTGTGGTCAAAATGGCATCCATTTGACCACACCAGTTGGTGCGGTCTAGACCACGTTTGGTTTTTCAGTGCTATCACAGCCCTATGCTGAACCGGGCCAGGATAGGAGCGTGCAACATGAACGGACCGAGTCGGGCAAAGTCCGATGTATGAAAAAAAAGTTTGAGCGCGAAAATGGGGCGCAAAGAAGCAGCAACAATTACTCTCGGCAACG